ACCCAATGATTTTTTAGTAAATCACATAAAATGTGTTGATACAAGTAATTCACTTTTATTCAACACTGTGTAATGTTATTTGAAGATTTATATGTCAATAAAAATAAAGATTTTGTCAAAACAAAAATTATCTCTCCTTCTAGGACCTTAATTGGAATTTTGCACATGCGGCTTGAAATTGAAGCGGCGAAACGGTTATCGACAGAATGACCAAAGTCTACCCCATATCTCTAAGCGCTCAGCATCCCTGATGCACGAGTATCTCTTCAGACCCACCCTCTCTGGATCTGTCTATCCCTCTAGGACCATTGCTTGCCACTCTGTCATTCACGGACACTCGAGTTCATTTGCTTTGCCATCGCGTGGATAATTCCGGTATGCTCACGAGAGTATTGCAGACGCGTAACCATCGACAGCAGAAATAACCGTTTGCTGTGGAGATACGTTAACAGCACTTAATTGAATCGACGGTTCGACGAGTGTCGTGACGAGGCGATCTGGTTTATAAATAGCGCCGCGAGATAGATACTTGCACTGCAGCTAATATATTCCCTAAGCGTCGTCTGGTATCGCGAGTATTACGGTTTGACGAAACGAGGCTCGGATTAGAGTCTCAGGGGTATCATCGATCCTCTACCTCATCGTTCCCTAGTCTTCCTGATCTCTCAGTGTAACGGATCAGAAAACAAATCCGATATTTCGAAAAGGAAGCCACGGATGTCTGAAAGTCGCACAAGGAGAATTTGTTGTTCCACTTCCATTGCGCCTATTTCAGGTTTAATAATATTCGCGCTGTCCTGTACAATTTTTATAATTATATATATATATATATATATATATATACTAGTATATATATATATATATATTTATTTATTTATTTATTTATTATTATATAATTATATATTTATATATATACACTATAAAAACTGATGTGTTAAATTTAACACATTTCATGTGTCTCAAATCATCCACTCTCGTTTATGTGTAAATTTAACACAAGACAAATGTGTTAAAAAGTAACACCCATAATATGGAAAAAATTAACACAAAAATTTAACACTTGAATACCGTTAGGAATCACAGGTTGTGTTGACATATTTAATATGTCAAACATAAATTATGTCAATTTAACATTTTTATTTCATCAAAACCGTAGATTAATATTTCTCTCAAATGTTAAAGTAACGTTTTATTTTAGTTAATTTAACATTATACATATGTCAATTTAACATTTTTATTTCATCAAAACCGTAGATTAATATTTCTCTCAAATGTTAAAGTAACGTTTTATTTTAGTTAATTTAACATTATACATATGTCAATTTAACATTTTTATTTCATCAAAACCGTAGATTAATATTTCTCTCAAATGTTAAAGTAACGTTTTATTTTAGTTAATTTAACATTATACATATGTCAATTTAACACAAACTGATTCCTGACGGTATTCAAGTGTTAAATTCTTCTGTTAATTTTTTACATATTATGCGTGTTACTTTTTACCACATTTGTTTTGTGTTAAATTTACATATAAATGAGAGTCGATGATTTGGGACACATGAAATGTTAAATTTAACACATCAGTTTTTACAGTGTATATATATATAATTTATTATATACATATTTATATTATATTTATATCATATTTATATATTTTTTTAATTATATATACACACTCGTCAACAAAATTATCGCATAGGTAAATTCATGTCGAAATTTCGCACAATTTTAAATGAACGTAATACTACGAAATATTACCGTATTTGAAATATTTTTTTTTTTATTTTAAAGAGTGAAGTCTGTACTTTAAGAAGCATTTGTTAGATTTTAAATTTATTTTTTCCTTCCCGCAAAAAATTTCTCAAAAAAGTTGCATAATTTGACTTTGATATGTCGCAATTCCACGAAAAAATCGTACAAATCCGCTTTTTTTAAATTGCAGAAGAAAGTACATTTTACGATGATTATTATGAAATTTGCGAAAAAAATTTATTCCACCTCATAGGATACGTCAAATTGTGCAATTTTTTGAAGACATAACACATCTTTACTTTTACGGGAAGGGGAGAGAATAAATTCAAAATCCGACAAATGCTCCTTAAAATACAAACTTCACTCTTTAAAATAAAAAAAAAAAGTTTCAAATACAATGATATTTTGCAGTATTATGCTCACTTAAAATTGTGTGAAATTTTCGATATAAATTTACCCATGTGTGTATATATACATGTATCTAATATATGTGTATATTCTCTATGTGAAAAGTTGAAATATTGTATTTAAAAATGAAAACAATAAGAATGGCCGGAATTAATCACGCGTCCAGAAATTGGTATTCTTATCTTACGTTCCCTCGTTTCTTCCCTCCTTCCCCTCGGTTGCGTTCTTTAATCATTAAAAAAAGGAAGATGCACATGTCTAGCTCTAATTGCACGCTAAGCGATACCGTCACGCTACGCTGGAGCTTGTCTTCGCCTCTTGATCGCTCGTCATTCGAAAATCATCACGACGTCACGACATTGAGACGAGCGGAAATTCCTCTCGGGACGGTCTCCGGCAAACGTAGCCGAGGGAAAGCGGAGGGAAACCCGAGACGCATTCTGCAACTAACAACTCAACATTCACGGGTGTTTGTTGGGATTTGATTTCGCCCGCGCAGAACCATCACGAGTTGTTCATAATACAACGCAGGCTTGCTTGTGCAAGCGCGCCCGCACGAATGAATGCATAAACTGCAGCATCGCGACTGGTTTTATATGCGGGCTGCTTACAAACGCGAAACGGCAATAGTCGCGAGCCACTATTGCACCCATTCGTCGCTTCCCATCCTCCTTTCATTCCGCGCAAATGCACTCCGGCCGGCGATAAACAAAACGTTCGCGCACCCACGCGACCACACGTTGCACGTGCACTCGCGTGTATTTGAACGAGCACATGTTTAGCTGTGGTCTACCTGTTCCACCTACTCGCAGCAGCAAGTACATGCGCGTATGAAGGAACAGTCATCTCGAGATTATCCAGATATATTGTGCGTCGTCCTGTTGCAACGGCAATGCAACACGCAGCCACAGATATAATCTTATCGAAGCTGAGATATACGAGTACGATCACGAAGATGCGAAAAATAATCGACAATGGAAGGGGAGAATGGAAATAATCGAGCAATTGTTGATAGCGCGAGAAAGAAGATACCTGTGTCAACTGAAAATTAAAAAATACTATTCAAAGAGAAGTACGGTTATGAGGACATGAAGTTAGAAGTAGACAAATCATGAAGTTAGAGGTACAGTCGTGCAGATATTGAAAATAATCAATAACGAAAGGGGAAAAGGAATATTGAGAGATAATCGAGCAATTTTTGGTAGCGCAGAAACGAAAATATATGTGTCAATTGAAGATGAAAAACATTATTCAAAGAGAGATACAGTTATGAAGACATGAAGTTAAAAGTAGACAAATCATGAAGTTAGAAGTACAGTCATGAAGATATTAAAATAATGTAAAACGAAGAGGAAGAAGAAATATCGAGAAATAATCGAGCAATTTTTGATAACGCAAGAACGAAGATATCTGTGTCAACTGAAGATAAAAAACATTATCCAAAGAGAAATATAGTCATGAAGACATGTGAAGTTAGAAGTAGACAAATCATTAAATCGGTTAGAAGCACAATCATGAAGATATACTAAAAATAATCAACATTGAAGAGAGAGAACATCGAAAAATAATCAAGAAATTATTGATAGTGCAAGAAACAAGATCTGTTCCAACTGAAGATGATATCATCGAAAACAAAATATCTGGAAGTGAAGTCCACGAACGCAGTCATGAAGATACTAAAAACAAGCAACAACGAGAAGGGAGAAACTCGAGAGGTAACCAAGAAATTATTGATGACGCAAAAAACAAAACATCTATGCCGACTGAAGATGATACCATCGAGAACAAAATATGTGAAAATGCAATCTATGAATGCAGCCATGAAAATACTAAAAATAATCAATGGGGGGAAAGGAGGAGAGAATCAAGAGATAATTAAACCGTTACTGAAAGCGCAAAAAAGAAGATATCTATGCCACCTGAAGAATATTATTCGAAGAGAACTGCCTGATATTCCACGAAGTGCTTCTCGATATCATCTCGAGAACAAAATACCCGTATTTCGATACTATTGAGGACACATCGCCGACATGATGTCACCGTGAAAGCGACGTGCTCGTATCTCGATACTCGTTCAAGTGGAAGACACTTCGACCAAGTATCGGTGCCACGCGACACTGTTGACAGTGAAGTCGCGATGTCTCGATCATATCTACCGATACCGTTCTCGACTATCTCGTTACCATCGAAAGCGAGATGATATCGGTGGCTGGACACCCCGTCGTTAGGATGGGAACACCGTTAGCATGAAAATAAGCGTCTCCTCGCTTTGCATACTCGCCCTCACGAATACGGCGCTCTCCGTTTCGTTCAGCAACGTGCCTGCCTGCCTGCCTGCCTGCCGGTAGGAGAGGCTGCGAGAGGAAAGCGGAGGAGGAGGCGATCTCGTACCGGGAGGGCCTCTCGCACTCCCGCGCGATGTGCGGAGCACACACCGCGTTCTCGGCCTCTTCCGTGCCGGGGTCCCGTCGCCAGTAGGAGCCGCGTTGGGCCACAGTAGTGGCTGCCGCCGCGCGGTAACAGGACGGGGCGACCGCGACGGCGTGTTTCGCTACCTTCTTCCTCTCTTCTCGAGCCGGCGGCGCAGCCGCCCGCACGCGCGCCTTCGTCTTCGCCTCGTCGCGTCCCCTCCGGGTTCGGAGTCCGCCCGGTCTGTCCGCTCCTGGAGATCACCTGGAAGCGCTCGCCGGACCGGTGAAAGTGGCCGGGAGTGCGTGCGTGCGTGCCCCGTGCGTGCCCCGTCCGATGAACTCCACGTGGTGTTGTGGCGCGGCGTAAGGATCCACTCGCTCCTCCGGCGGATATCTTCTTTCCCGTGACTGCCGAGTCGAGGGAGAAACATGAGGCCGTTCGTGGGTCTCCTGCTCAGCCGGCTGTTGCTGCCGCTGCTGGTCCCCTTGGTCCTCCTTGCAGCGCAGCCCTCCAAGGCCCACGAGAGAACGGCGGAATGCCCAGAGAGATGCGTGTGCCTCCGCAACCAACTCACGGTGCGATGTATACTTCTGAAGCTGAACCGGGTGCCGCTGGTGGCACGTAACACCTCCGTCCTGTAAGTTGCTCTCCGGAGCGACCTCGATTACCTCAAATTTCGCTTATTTAGCGAGATGCGTCGTAATGAACGCGTCGCGAGCATCGTGACGTACCGCAGTCATCTACAGCAAATTGACAGAAGTTGTTGCCGTTGTCGTAAATTAACCGGTCTTCAAAAGCATTGCGTGGCACGTTGTACTTTCATCCGGTAAACATTCTTTATTCGTTTACTGTGATCTGCCGCAAGGCAAAAGTATCTAATCCTGGTTATTCTTGTTAGTTTCGTCTTTAAACATAAATATTTAAACTCTTAATATCGTGATGAAAGTTAAAATATTCGTATTTAAAGACCAAAACAACAAGAATGTCCAGGATTAAGCTGAGAAGAAAGTTAAAAGTATCAATTGCCGGACATGTACCTGATCCTGGACATTCCTATTGTTTTGGTCTTTATATATGAATATTTAAACTTTCGACATGGAATGTATGTATCCAATATTTGTATGTATATTTTATATGTTGAAAATTTAAATATTTGTATTTAAAGACAAAAACAAAAAGAATATTCAGGATTAGGTACATTGATACTTTTATTTTACTTGAAAATTCACTTATAGGATATCAAGTTTATTTCTCTGTGAAATGAAGTGTATTTCTGTGAAAATAAACTTTGATACTTTTATCTTAAACATGAGATAAAAGTGTAATTGGAAGAGTATTTTCACATATTCCCAGAGCTTTTCCACGTGTGTGAAAGTTTGGATTCGTAAAAAATGTATAATGACCAATGTTTAACGGACAATCAAGCGCTGATGATATTACGGGGTGGATATTAACAATAAAAGGTCAAGAGAAAGTACGTTAAGATTCACGTTCGCTTACGGGAAAGATACTAATCAAGACGTATGATCATCGCAGTTAAGAAGATCGAGACTGACACAGCGCTTTCTCACGACGCGAAGGATGCGTTCGCTCCTCGTGGCGCTGAACAAGAAGGATTAACATCGCGTTCTTCTAACGCTAGTAGGAATTTGCAGCAAGAATCAACTCCACCGTGGAGTAATTGATGACCGCTGCACGATAATTGCATGGCAATCAATCACATAGCGATTACCTGTGACTGAGGTGTGAAGTATCGATTTAGAGATAAGAAAATCGTCCAACGGAACTCGGAATCCTGTTTCAGCATCCGACTAAATTACAGCAATCGCTCGAATTTGCAATAATTGCGCGATTAAATATAATTAAATCCGCGCGCATGAATTATTGATTTGGAGCGAAGAAGATCGGCAAGAGACGGAAAGTAGCCGGGTGCTCAGGACTATATATAAGTCACAGTGCCAGCGTTAAAGCGGAGAGGTTCAGAGAAAGGAACAAAGGAGAATGGAGCAAAGCTGTACGATCGCGATGTATGCAAAGCCAGGATCTCATCCGATATTCCGAGAGCGAAATTCACCGTGGCCTGCGCGTTGTCCGAGTTATTTTGTCAAAATCACGGACAAAGATAAAACGGCGAGACGGGTATCGACGAGTTAGTTGACGATTCTGTGAATCATGAGGTGAACAGGTCACGTGCTTCTTCTAACTTTTCAAGGGTGATAATTGCGCGACGATAATAAGCGTAATCGCTCCTGTTTCGCCTGACGCGACGCATCGTATCGCTACATCGCGTCATAATTGCTTCATTTTTAGCAATTTTGTTCTGTGTGAATCCGACGTTGTGCAACTTATTTGTCGCGCGGGAGCGAGATAAAGGCAAGTTGTACACTCCGCTATTATTAATCTCACTTTTTCGCACCATCCAAGCTGGTGCTGTTTCTCAGAAAAAATTACTTCATCCACGATTAACCGTGACCTATTCCGTACACACGATTACATGACACGGATTATTGTAATCTCAGAGCATATTATGCGTGCGCGATCCATTTAGAGATATAATTATTATATTTATTATACGTTTCATTTTCTCATCTCCTCTCCTTTACACACGCATGCACGTCAAGATGTAATATGAGAAAGTAATCTATAAAATAAGACGTTTTAATTGCCTTATCAAGAAACGGTCTTCCCAATATGAAATTTATAAAATAAATATATACTTTTTTCTTCATTATATTCTTTCTAAGATATAGATATTTCTATTTCTTTCTTCTCTATTTCTATTCTGTTTTAAAAAGAATCTGTTTCTTTTTTATTATATTATATTTCATCATATCATATATTATATTTTATCATATTAGATTGAAGAAAAAAAGAGGAATTTAACTGTTAATAATAAATAAATATATATTATTAATAGTTAAATTATATATAAATATTATATATATATTATATTATATTATATATATATTATTATTAATAGTTAAATTTCCTCTTTTTTCTCCAATTTAGTATAGTGGCACTTCATCACAATATTTTCCACAACTTTCTCCTTATCAAATATTTTCTGCGTTTTATGTTTTCACGTCTTTAGACGTGAAAATAACGAAATAAGATAACTGACGCACTCCTTTGAAATAACAACCGTCTCAAATTAATATGTCAAAGAATTACAAAATTAACAGTGACAATAAGTGCAAGGAGTTCGACTCACTAATTAATTTTGTGGTTATTGCTCATGCGACAGTAATGAAGTTTTGTCGAAACAATGAGTACATGCAGAAACATGCAAGCATCTCTGTGTCAAGCATATATGTATTACATATATGTATAGTCTGACTCACGCAAGTCTTGAAGACGATCTCCCTCCCTCTCTCCCCTCTCTCTTGGTATTAAATCCTTTCTCCTTGCGCCATCCTATGTACAAATGTTCTCATAGTTTACGTTATCCCGTCTACTATTTCCGCGCCGATGGGCTATCGACTGTGGTTCGTATTTACGCGACATTACCAAACCGCAAGATATCCGGAAGCGTTGTTTAGACGAACACGAACGAAGAATGCTGTAACGTGCTTTGCCAAACCATTAAAAACGGCACGCGACCTTACCCCTGCAAATCTGAATGTCAACAGGGAAGCATAAGTAATCATTTGAAAGAAGCTAATGCATTTAACTATCAATGCATTGTGTACGATCTAGAGATTAAGAAACAAGTTAGCATGATACACAAGCGACGTCATTCATAAACAATAAGTCGAGCATTATCGAAATTAGGTATCCCTTTAACAATGCGACGACTTAATTACACGTTTGAACGAATGGCTTCGCGCGCAGACTTTAAACCAATAAGGACCGGTTTAATAGCAGTTTAAACTTGGATTCAAGCTTAAACTCTATTCTAACAATGTGTTTATTTTGTTTAAACAGAGTTTAAGTTGAAATCTAAGTTTAAACTATCATTGAAAAACCAGCCCTAAATGGATTACAACTGAATGAACGACTTTGTGATAACCAAAAATAGCAGAATAGTTTTAATCCTTTATAAGTTTGTGGTCCATATTTTAACCATCTCACGTAAGATTCAAAATGTCTACCGTTTTACTGAACATTCAGTCGATTTTTTGTCAAGCAATAATCATAATAATAAAAAATATAAAGTTTCTTATGTTTTATTTACATTGGAGTCACCACCTTAAGAAAAAGTTTTAGCTTATAAAGGATTAACACGCAGTATAATTACACTTCGTGACTGAAATGCTAGATTTACTAAAATTTGGAATACGTTTTGGGTAAATTTGATGGACTTATGATGAACTTATGATAAATTTGTGGATATATAAACTTATGAAATACTTGAAACACGTGACTTTTATTTGAGTGCAATATAATTAGGTTACTGGTACTTTCTCATTCTGGACGTATTAACGTATTATAGTCGTCGCAGTGACAACTGACTGCACTGACACGTCGTTCCCGCTTCTCCGAATAAATATTTGTGCGACTAGAAAATCCTAATAACCCAGTTAGATCGCGTGTTAAAGCTATTCTCTGCCGGTTAATACACACCAAACTTGCGCGAGTTCAACTTTCACCAACTTATCATTTGTCTATCTGATAACATTGAAGTCCAATGGAAGGCGAGTTAGAATACGCGCCTCACTGAGACACATACGTTTCATATAAAGCGAGATTTATGTAAGAGATCTCATTAAAATATATCACACACTTTTTATTTCATCGCAAACTGATCATGTTTTTATTTTTTTTTTACTTGTTTGATAACTAATGTATTAGACTATGGACTGAGGACTTGCAATCGACTCAATCAAATAAAAAACTAATATCAAAATTATATTTTCATTACTCGACTAGTACGATTGTTTTCCTCAATCCATAGTCTGATACGTGCGTAAAAGAAAACGAAAAAGTACATATTCTGTTGGAAAAACATAATTTTTTAACTTGAACAGTTGCAAGTTCTGGTGAACCAGAATCTCGTTAACTTGAACAGAATTCTGGTAACTTCAGTCGAAATTTCTGATGCATTTGAATTCCACCAGATATTTGGTCCAATTCAACCAAACTTTTTTCATACAATCAGATTAATAGTAAAATAAAATAGAACAACTATTTATATGATTGCTACAACAACAAAAGTAATACCTAAGTTACAGTGACGATTTCTGGTTACTCCAAGCAGAATTTATCCATGGTCAAATATTTGGTCGTTATCAGCGACTTCTGATCGCCGTGCGCGTATAGTATATCAACCATACACGTTACCATCGCACGAAGATAACTACAGGCAGAAAAATACATACTGCACTCGAGTAAATGTCACGTGTTTCAAGTATTTCATAAGTTTATATATCCACAAATTTATCGTAAGTTCATCATAAGCCCATCAAATTTACCTAAAATATATTCCAAATTTTAATAATCCAGCATTTCAGTCACGAATATTAAACTTCAGCTAATTTGCTTACATAGAGTCAAACCAGCTTTTCCTTCAATAAAGTTTTATAATATTCTTGCAAAGAGAATAAAGTTTTCTTTTGAGTGTACAATGAGTTCTTCTAAAATTTGTCATATTTTAAGACTGTCATCAAGAAAGTATTCTTTGTTGAAAGTAATCATTACTCAAAAGAAGAGAAATAAATTGATCAATCGCTTTTTTTCGATAGAATGTAATCTTCAATAAACAACAGATATTTTTCTGTATAACGATATACAGCTATGTCGCTCGCAACTAAATATTTCTAATTATGTGCACCATATCTTTTCTTGTTCCGTGACTTTTTGTTCAAGCGTTATTTCTGCACGTGCACGATGCCAAGCTCGGCACGCGGAGTCGAGTGTTTTGTTTCACTATTCTAACATGTGCAGATTTGCAGCTAAAGCCTATCATGCTTTACGGATAATCACCAATTTGCGATCCTCTGAAATTACGGCGAAATAAGCGGTCGTCGACGCTCGTCGTCGGCCGATGATCGATGGAATATCCATTATGGACGTTGACTTGAATATTGAGTAACTTTAACTATCCATCTCGGGCATCGCTGAATAAATATATACTTGTCTGGCGATATAGACCGCGATATCCGCCGAGATATCGTCCCTTGCCGTGATCTTTGATTACACATGAACGCCGTCCGTAAAGAAAGTCGCGGCTAGAAATGCAGGTCAGACATTATGCCTCCCCACCTGCCCGATTAAATTGCACTCTAATATTAGACGTCGATAGCGTACCATTGTATAGTTATCTAAACCCGATTAAACGAACGGAAAATGTGCGACACGTCAATGTGGCCTCTAATGCCTCGTTTGACGCACGGAAATGGAAAGTTCTCTTTGACTTACTTCGTGTGAAAACGTTCGCAATAACGCAAGCGGAATGTATTTTGGAGGAGGTTTACTTGGAAATGGTAAATCTGAGCGCAACGTGAAATAGTCAAAACAACAGCAATGTGTTAAATCAATACTATGTAATATGTCAATCGGTACACATAGTTAATCAATACACATATGTTAAAGATATAACAGAAAAATTTCTATACGGATCAATTTCAAAATATAAAATGCAAATGCAAAATGTTTTTTATCGTGTAAAACTATATTTTCAACTGAAACTATAATAAGATCTGCATATTTAGAGATAAAACTTGTATGTATTTTTTAGTTCATCTTGTCGCCCGCGAAACGCCATATCGGTATCGCATTGTTGTCTGAAACGCTTGCTTTTGTATATAAATCCGCGCGAGATAACTCGGCGCTGCATCCGCGAGGACGCGAATTTGCATTTCACGTGGGGACAGGTTGTGTCATCGTTGTAATTTTAGGTGTACGTGCATCTCGATGAACCGGACAACGAGGTCGCGGCTTCGGCGAAATACGCGGTTCGCGCTCAAGAGCGGAACGCGGCTCGAGAAGAGAGGAGATTGATTTTCTTCCCGGAATCATTGCCATTCGTCTTTCACCCGCAGTTATTAATGTCGTTAATTCACTCGCGATCGCCGTTATTAAATGCGGGCCTTTCAATCGCGTAAACCGTGCCGCCGCCGTCGATACTCGTACGCGTCAACGCATTTCTAACGATGAAGAAACGTCGAGACGGCGCTATAAATAAATAGGATGTCGAAATACAGCCGTATCTATAAAGAAGCAAGAGGACGTAAACGCAAGAACTCGGTTTTCACGGCGAAACTTGTCACTGTCCGCCTGCAAGTGAAGGCTTGCACGCGTTCCAAATGAATCCGATGAGTAATTACGGACAAAGAGAGTCGATCGAAGATCCAAGCTCGCGCATGAAATCATGTGAATCACGCAGAAAAATATCATTCCACTTTTTGCTGGAAAAAGCGATGATTACTTGGTTCATCCCTCTTCCTTCTTTTAAGCAACAAAGAACATTTTCTCGAGTCTTAAAATACACTCATAAGCAAATTTGAAAAGAACACATTATCATGTACTGAAAAGAAGAAACTTTTTTTTCATTTCTTTGAAAAAAAAGTCGTAAAACCTTCGGCTAGTTTTCAGTTATCTAAACCATCTCCTCTTACTATTTCTTATTCAAATGCTAAACTCTTACTAGGCTGCAAAATGTATTTTGAATAAATTTGATGCTCACGATGAGTTTGTGAGACAGATTTGCGGACATATAAACTTCTGAAATACTTGAACAAGTAACATACATTTGAATGCAACATGTATTTTTCTGCGCGTAATTTCACTTGCTATTATTCGAATGATCTTGATTTCTCTAATCGAATTCATCATGAGAAACAAGCATATCTCTCATTGGCGGTCGCTTTTTCTTTTGTTTTATCTCTTTTTAAGATTACACACACGCTACAGAAGAAATGTAAATTGCCGCGCGCAGAAATGGTTATTATTATTTATAGTTTCGTTGCACTCATTTAATAGTAGAGATATGCGAACTATTCGAATTCGAATCCGAATAATTCGAAAATTTCGAATCGAAAAGTTTCGAATCGCACATTAGCATTAACGAAGTACTTTTCAAGACATCCAGCCTTACGGGAATTAGACTTGGAAAGTTTATATTTTCATAAAAGAAGATAATGGCTTTTAGATAAACTCTTACCGATAACTATCGTATCGATAAATGTCGTTGCGCAGCTTTCAAGACTGAAACTGTATTCCATACACGTTTACCGACTATATATTATGTATTTCTTACCTTAAAATGAATTGATATCACATGATCAATGTTATCTCTCTCATACTGAAGTCACTATTTTCGTGTTGAATTCAATGATTACGTTAACTAAAAATTCTTTCAACGATTCGATTCGATTCGGGTGAAATTTCATCGATTCGATTCGAATTCGAAATTAAAATCTGAGATTCGATTCGACAGAAAAAATGTTTGATTCGCACATCTCTATTTAATAGTTCATTGCCTCACAACGATTCAGTTCGAGATTCAGGTGGCGCATTTAACAAGCCGCGAATGAAACCAGTTATACTCGTCGCGCAATAGCCGTCCGTATTTATCAACACTGCGCAACGCGTCCGCGTAATTTCTTAAAAATGGGAAAGTACCACATTGTGGGCAATTACCGCCAGTTACAAGTCCGGGCTTCTTCTACTTTTCCCCGGCGATGCGCCGGCCCGATAAGGAGGTTAAAATACCGTCGGGTCGAGCGCGAGAACTCGAGCCAAGTAATTCGGAAAGGAAATAAAGTGCGACGAGTCGAATGAAATTGTTAATTAAAACAGCTTTTTCCGCGGTAACTGACGGAAATGAATATCTTCGCGGCGCGCCGCGCCGCTGCCTCGTAATAATTATATGCGGTTGCGCAACGCATTTTACGGGCTCCATGAATTCCCGAATATCCAATTCGCGCATCCAGTATCGGGTAACACCGACACGCTAATTGGCAAACCACATTTCGCTTATGATCCCGCTCGCCATATTCGTTAATCACATACATGTAATACGCGGTGCTCTCAAAAAACGCGTTTGCTAAATCATATTTCGGTATCGCAGAGTCCGCATTTCTATAATCTGTATTTTTGTATATCTTCTATACAATCCCAACATTCAGCGGGCTGTATATTAAGTTGCGATTTGCGATTTTCTTATTAAATTCTCGTAGAAGTTTGGGTATTGAAAGTAGAAAATCTTCATTAAATCCGAAAAAGCATCAAGTCGATGTTGTTTATTTTATATTGAATTTTTCGGAACGTTCGCAGCGTTCTGTGCAAACACGTTGGCTTTACATTTTCCTTACGAACTTTCCGAACTACCCAATACATTCTATCAGAAATATAATGAAGACCAATAGGAGCCAGACGCCGTTTAAGTTGCGAGAAACTAATATATTACAGAAAACAAGTAAGGTATAAAAGAGTTATAATCGCTTACAAAGTTTTGATTAATTGCTCAACCCTCTTCAGTATATATTCTATCCAAAAAAATATAATTTTATTCTTTAGAGGATATCCTTTTATACGTGATCTTTTAGATTTCTCTAAAACCAAGGGAAAAATATTCAAGTTAATTCTTAAAGTTAGAGGCATCTTGTCTTTTATCTGCAGCATAAATCTTGTCTTTAATGGAAATTTCTTCTAGAAACAAATGGCATTTTGCTTCAAATAAACATATTGATTTAAAAAGAGGAAAAGTTAGAACAATATCTAGTATATTTTGAATTAAGAATTCACTTAGAAGAAAGATACTCTTCTACGATTAATAGTTTACAATAGAAGAGGAATACTGTTTCAGTAAGAATTTTCATTTAAAACATGGGATTACAGAAAACAGCACTTTGCAATTAGATTTCTTTTTTTTAGCGTTAGAATATTTTCTTTTGATTTTAGAAGAAATTTTCTTAATGCCACACACAAGAGGATATCCACTAAGAATAAGATCATATATTTTTTGAATGCATAAAAATTATTAATTCTTCGAAATTAGGTGGACCTATTTTCTTTTTTTATTACAAATTCGACAAATCTTTTACACCAACTTGATAAGTGTTCGAACGCAATCGTCCAGCTCTCAATGCGAGGTAACGCTGTACCTCTCGTGCGACGCGAGTGGAAAATCGCAGAATCGAGATCACTGGAGACTGTGAAAAGAATAAGAGGTTCTTCAAGGTCTGCACTTACCCTATGCGAGACGACGGATTGTTTTCAGGGACCTCCGATTCAACCACATCGCGGAAGTACGCCCGGGAACGTTCCACGGGCTCGGTCAGCTGGACACCCTGCTGCTGAACGACAATCGTATTCGGCAGCTAGCGGCGGGCGCCTTCGACGGCGCTCCGAATCTGCGTGTGCTCTACCTGTACAAAAATCGCATCGTCCGCATAACGCCGGGTGCCTTCGCCGGGCTGCCGCGGCTCGAGCAGCTCTATCTGCATCACAATCATCTGCGGGAGATCCTACCTGGCACGTTCAACGATCTGCCGGCATTGGAACGGCTCTTCCTTCAAAACAATCGACTGCACCAGCTGCCGGCCGACGCGTTCCTCAACGTTGGCCCGATGACACGACTGCGCCTCGACAGCAACGCACTCGTCTGCGATTGCAACTTGGCCTGGCTGGTGGAACGGATGCGTGACAGGCGCTTGGAGATGGCAGCGATCTGCCAGGCTCCCCAAGAGATGAAGGGTCGCTCTTTGACGACGATGTCGATCGAGGACTTCCATTGCAGTTGAGTAAATCAGGCCTGGCCGACGTTGTGGCTCGAAGTTGTGACTTTCGCATCCTCTGCGCGTCGCAAGGATTGTCCGTTGACGTTCGAGTGACCTGGAACGATCGTCAGAATTGTTATTTTTGAAAATGAATCATTCTAATCGTCATAAAATAATCTCAGAAAAAATAATCAAAAACACGTGACAGATTGAAGATCTCTCGAGAAGATTTTTCAATTCTTATATGACAAAAACATTTATCACGCCTAGAAAAAAGAACTCTAGTTGAAAAGTACTAAAGTAGAATACTGAGTAGAAGGTGTCTCCTGCAATTCCATACTCTAAGCGAGAATTTTTATCGAAAGAGCATTCCTTTTCTAGTTAAGTGGACTATTAATTGGAGATCTACTAAATATTATTCTAATTTTATTTCCTATTGAATCACAAGAGGAATATGAATATTTATTTGAAGCTGAATATGTTCTTATTAGAAGAAATTTCTATTAAAAACAAGATTTGTACTATAAGAAACGAAATTCCTCTAAGAATATTGTGTTTAGAATATTTTCATTTTGGTTTTAAAAGAATCCTCTTGAAATTATATATAACAGTAAAATCCTCAAGGATTCAGAGAATTTCACTAAAAATAAAATTATATATATATATATATATATATATTTTTTTTTTTTTTTTTTTTTTATATAATCATACTTTTCGAAATATGAATATACAAAGTGGCTCAAAAAATTGGTTACCACTTTGAATTTCCCAGCAAATAATCCGCATGATAATCCGCAAAAAGAACTTCAAACATATATTAACTCTTTAAAAAATGTTATACATTTTTCAAATCAGTTACCGAATTTTGGGGACCATTCTTTTAGAAACTGAATATAACTGTTTAAATTATTGTTGATATTCAAGAGAAGCGATATCAAAAGAGATTTGCCATGGCTAAAAGCGAGGAGACAGTCTGTATTTAAAATTTATGGAGAGCTTCGCTCTGTACGTGATCCTTATCCTTTCACAGTTTACGTAGCCTATAATTAATTCTTTCGGCGAATCGATTCCCAGAGCGATTCGTGTCATTTTGATTATATTGCTGGCGCAAGGGCGGCTTAATGCGGATCACGTTGTCGCGGTCGTTGACACCGCGGTCGTCGTGCCGCCGCCGCATCTCGCGTGACGGCGCCTGTCGCTAGGATGATCCGCATATCTATCGCGTGATCCTTCGCCGGAAGGTTAAATCGAGACCTCCACTCAATAGAGTGTCGCCGACTAATTCCAGAATAAGATTTTCTTTTTCCCTTCGAGACAGCGGAGTGACAGCGATGTCGAAAGTATGTTATTATCCACTTTGCGACGATTCGCCGGCTCTTTTGCATAAAGAAATGAACGATTACGGTAAACGCCTTACACACACTATGTAAGAATTGAAAGACCAATCTTCAATCTTTCCTCTGAGATTATCTACGAGGATAATTAAGATCCTCTTCTTTCCTTAAACAAGAGAACGACGCAGATTGCGACGCGCAAAAGAGAATGTTATTTGAAAAGATTTGACCGTAAGTTAGGGGAATAAGATCATTGCAATTATAGACTCAGCCGCCACTATATAGCAAAATCTTTTATGATAAATATTGCGAATATGGTCAATGTCAAGGAATAAATGAATTCGGCAGGATTGGACTATGACGCAAATATTTCACTTCACCTCGATACATCTCCCTGATCCTTCCCGACCGCAGCTGCAATAACGAGAAATTCCTTCCGCAGCGAAGCCGCGCATAATGCAGGGACCAACGGACGCGACGGTGTGGGTCGGCGGCACGATTACGTTCACCTGCCGGGCGACGGGAGACCCGACGCCGAAGATCAAGTGGATGCGGGACTCGAACGAGGTGGGCCAGGACGGCAAGAGATACGTGATCCGCAAGGACGGCACTCTGGTGATCACCGACGTGACGGAGCAGGACGTGGGCGAGTACGAGTGCGTGGCCAGCAGCGACATGGGCTCGACCAAGTCCAGGAAGGCTCGGGCGGTCATCATGGTGTCGCCGACCCTGAGATTCACCGAGCTCCCGGAGTCGCGCACCGTGACCGCCGGCACTGACGTGACCTTCACCTGCAGAGTCGACGGCAGCCCGTCGCCGAGTGTCCGCTGGTGGCGAAACGGCCAGCTGATCGCCCTCGGCGACCGATTCTCGCTCGAGCAGGGCGGCAACGTGCTGCGCATCTACGCGGCCAAGGAGACGGACACGGCGCGATACGTGTGTCGCGCCCAGAACGCCAACGGCTTCGCGGAGACCAGCGCGGACCTGCAGGTCCTCGCCGCGGACTCCAGCGCGCCCCGACTGTCGTACGAGCCGCGGGACGTAGACGCGGAGCCGGGCGCCGTTGTCGAGGTGCCCTGCCGGGCCGAAGGTAAGCCGAAGCCGATGATACAGTGGAAGAAGGACGGCAACACAGTGGAGAACGGCAGAATCAAGATCTCGCGCGGCGGGAGTCTCTACATCTACAACGTGAGCTCGCAGGACATCGGCAGGTAAGATGGAAGTGACGGAACTTTGACCTTTGGTTCGTGATAATCGCCAGTCTTCGATTAGGAAGAAGGAATTGTAGTTATTTGTCCGAGTAGGGAAAACAACGTCTCTCTTTCTCTCTCGCAAAATTTTCCTTTGTGATGGAACAGAAAATTTTGAACCAACAGATAATCTGAAAAAAATGTATATTTGTATATTTAAATCTCATATATCGTACAGAATTATATGAATCAATAATTTTATCTTAGTAACATATTTTTAGAAATAGATTAAATCACACAGAATGATATACTTTCCATTGAAACCATGAATTGCACTGCACGAAATTCGGAAATCTGAAATACAACATCCAAAAGAATATAATCTTATTCTTAACGGATGTCCTCTTGTGTATGGTCTCAAAAAGATTCCTCTGAAGTCAAAAGGAAAACATTCTAACTCTCTAAAAAAAGATTCTAGTTGCAAAGTGCTATTTCCTATAAATATTCTAAAAGAAAATTTTGATCAATAGAGTATTTCTTTTTTATTAAAATGGACTGTTAAATCTACTATATATTATTATAACTTTTTTCCCTTTTCAATCAAGAGGAATATGTTTGAAACAGAATGCCCTTTTACTAAAAAAAAAAAAATTTCCATTAAGATTTTGTACTGTAGATAAAAGACGAAATTCCTTTAATTTTAAGAATATTGTGCTTAGGATATTTTCTTTTTTAGTTTTAGAAGAATTACTATATAGAAACTAGAGATTAGGTCAAATTGAACAAACAAAAGTTCTCTATCATTTTGCAAACAACCACATAAAATATTAAGTTAATTGAAGAAAATTGATATTGATTTGAATTTTACACGATAATCTACAAAAGTTTTATATGCCATCGTCAGACATCCTATGTAAAAGTCAAAATAGCACAGAGAATTCAAAAAGAATTCAGTCGTATGTCACCATTTCTAAGTTCATTTTCAGATGCAAGAAACATTCTTCAAAGTTCAGTTCAGTAGAAAGAATTCTTTTTGCATCTAAAAATGAACTCAGAATTGGTGATATACGACTGAATTCTTTTTAAATTCTCTGTGCTATCTGGGAGAATATCCTCTAAGATTAAGATTATATTTTTCTGGATGAACGTTATTTTGCAATGAATACAAGTTGTCTTCAATATGGCTCTTATCAGCAATCCTTGTTCACCTTTATTTCTCTCTTTCGCAGGTACGAATGCTCAGCCGTGAACGATTACGGCCGCGCAACCGGCCATGCTTTGGTGCGCGTTCGGCAGCCCGGTGCGACGGACGCACTCGTCATACGAGCGTTCCAGGACGCCACCGAGGAGATCGATCGTGCCATCAACAAGACGCTGTCGAACCTCTTCAGCACCAACCGTTCAGGCACCGCGCGAGTCGACCCGTTCCGAGCGGGACGATTCCCGAACGCCATCAGCCGCGCTGCCGCCAGACCCGCGGAGATCTTCGAGAGGACCCTCGTCAATATCCGGCGCTTGGTGAACGCCGGCGCCGCGGCGAACGTAACCGGTGAATTTCGTTATGAGGAGATACTGTCATCGGAACAGGTGAGAGCGACATCAAACTGACCAGGAGAGACGATGATGTGTGTTGAGTTGATGCAAAAGATTTGTTACTCTTCTGTTAATTCCTCGCAGGAAGTTTGGATATTAAAAGAGAACTAGGACATTCTCGTTAGATATTGTTCATTTTATTCATAAAACTTATTGCTCCCTCGAAATTGGGTAACTTTGCTTCCTATTTTATTTAGCAAGTACGACAAATTTTTTGCACAACATTAACACTAGAATGCCCAATGGAGTCATTTTGACTCCATTAAGGTTTCCTTGTTGTCGCTTTCTCGTGGTTTAGGGAGAAAAATATCTTGCGACTCTCAATTATATTCTCAAAATGTTCAGAAGTTATTGATACGAGTAATATGAGTTGGAAACAGAAAGAATTTCAGTGTTTGAATAGCAAAGAATCAAAATGACTTTTTCGGGTATCCAAAGAGAATTGTAGTTTCCGAGCATTCTAGTATCAATATACAGTTAGATGACTAAAGATTACGACATTTTACCTCGATAAGTTCTGCAATACATTTCGTATTCGTGATAGGAAAAAGTATCTCCTGAAAATGATTAAAAACCAAATTCTCCTATGAGATATACGAGATATGCGTTGTGAAGCTCATCAAAGTAAAAGCACCTTTAGTCATCTGACTGTGCGTCTCTCCGGGAATCTAAGAGCGCCGTGTGATTCAGGTGAAGGATATCGAGAGGATGTCCGGATGCAGCGGTCACCGACGCCGGCAGAACTGCAGCAACATGTGCTTCCACAATAAGTATCGGACGATAGACGGTAGCTGTAACAATCTACGGCATCCCACTTGGGGCTCGTCGCACACGGGATTCCGACGAGTGCTGCAGCCCGTTTACGAGAACGGCTTCTCGATGCCAATCGGTTGGGAGAAGGGACGGCGATATTTCGGCTACCCGAAACCAGCCGCGCGTCTCGTGTCGACCACGCTGATCTCCACTCACGACATCACGTCGGACGAGCGGATCACCCACATGGTGATGCAGTGGGGCCAGTTCCTGGACCACGACTTGGATCACGCGTTGCCGTCCGTGTCGAGCGAGTCTTGGGACGGGATCGACTGCAAGAAGTCCTGCGACAACGCCGCGCCGTGCTTCCCGATGGAGGTGCCGCCGGGCGATCCTCGCATCAGCAACAGGAGATGCATCGACTTTGTGCGAAGCAGCGCCGTGTGCGGCTCCGGCGCGACGAGTATCCTGTGGGGCGTACTGACACCTCGCGAGCAGCTGAACCAGCTGACCAGCTACCTGGACGCGTCGCAGGTCTACGGCTATGACGACGAGCTGGCGCGCAACCTGCGCGACTTGACCACCGATCGGGGACTGCTTCGGGAAGGCGCCACGTTTCCCGGCCACAAGCCTCTGCTGCCCTACATGTCCGGCCAGTTCGTGGACTGCCGTAGAAATCCACTGGAGAGCTCGATCAACTGCTTCGTGGCCGGTGACATCCGCGCGAACGAGCAGGTCGGCCTGTTGGCTATGCATACCATATGGCTGCGTGAGCACAACCGCGTGGCTCGCGCGCTACGCGACATGAATCCCCACTGGAACGGCGAGAAACTCTATCAGGAGGCGAGACGCGTCGTCGGCGCCGAGATGCAGCATATCACTTACCGGCACTGGCTGCCGCGGATATTCGGCATCGAACTGGACGAGCTTCTGCCGCCTTACCGCGGCTACAATCCCAACCTCGACGCCAGCATATCCAACATCTTCGCCACTGCCGCCCTGCGCTTCGGTCACTCGCTGATCCAGCCGCGTCTCGAGCGTCTGAACGCCTCCTTCCAGCCGATCCCTCAGGGTGCCCTGAGTTTGCGTGACGCCTTCTTCGCGCCTTGGCGTCTGGTGGAGGAGGGCGGTGTCGACCCGCTGATCAGGGGCATGTTCGCCACTGCCGCGAAGCTCAAACTGCCCGAGCAGAATCTCAACTTGGAGCTTACCGAGCAGCTATTCCGCACCGCTCACGCGGTCGCGCTCGACCTCGCCGCCATGAACATTCAGCGGGCGAGAGATCATGGTATACCTGGCTACCTGGAGTGGCGACGTCACTGCAACATGTCGCACGTGGAGACCTTCGAGGACCTCGCCGGCGAGATCAGTAACGGCAAGGTGCGTCAGAAGCTGCGCGAGCTGTACGGCCATCCGGGTAACATAGACGTCTGGGTCGGCGGTATCCTGGAGGATCAGCTCCCGGGCGCCAAAGTGGGGCCGCTGTTCCGCTGCCTGCTGCTGGAACAGTTCCAGCGCACCCGGGACGGCGACCGGTTCTGGTACGAGAATCCCAGCGCGTTCCGCGCCGAGCAACTCGTGCAGATCCAGCAGGCTACGCTCGCTCGGATCCTGTGCGACAACGGCGACAATATCGCCCGCGTACAACCCGACGTATTCCTGCTGCCGACGGGCAGCAACGTCTACGTCACCTGCGACGAGATTCCCCGCGTGGACTTGAGCGTGTGGGCAGACTGCTGCGAGAATTGCGAGGACAGCAGCACCGCCGTTCTCCGTGTGCGCAGAGCGGCCGAGAAATACCTGGCTCCCGCGAACGACGTGAAAAGCGCGATGGATTCGTTGACTTCTCACGACGAAAAAATGATGTTCTTACGCAGGAAGTTTGAGGAGAGCGACCGAGAGGCTAGGAGGCTGCGAGAGCAGATCGAGGACCTGTCGCGCACGATGAACGAATTGAAATCGTTATTCCTGGAAGACGTTACGACACGACAATAGGAGAACGAATTACGTGCCATGCTTGAATTGTAGCTCTGTTCGCCGCAGGTAGTCCCGCTTGCTTTTGTCCTCAATACAATGTTTTATGTTCTTCTTTATGCATTTATGTAAATAGAAATTCTGCCAGAAATACTGCCGTAATGTAAAATGTTATCTTCCATGAAAGTAGCTCAGTTATCACCAAGCAGGTTGCGAGCAATTATCTTTTCAATTAAATATCGTGTTTGATTGACGATTATTTATTGACGATGTAAGCTAATTCAATTGTGGACTATTTAATTGACAATTGATTTTAACCAATTTAATTAAAGATTGTTCGATTGACGATTGACATTTTCACAAATTCAATTAAACACTATTCAATTAACGATTGATATGAACAAAGAGAATAAAAAATCGCTCAATTAATAATTGAGCTTAGCAAATTCAATAAAGGCCGTTTAATTGTGACAACTAAACTTGGCAAATTTAATTAATCCTCCGTGCACAATCATATCTTTTGGATCTACAGTACAATCAGAGTCTGCCGGGTAACTTTGAACCATCATAACCATTTGTTGAAAATCAAGATTTTTGAACACATTTTTTTCAAAGATATAAGAAAGCTTCAGCTAGGATAGTAGCGCAATAAAGTCCAAATCTGCAAATAGATTTGCGTTATTTTGAAATTTCTCTGGGCCTTTTACGAAAATTGGTGAACGGCCGAATATTCGTTCGGGTCTCACAGACCAAACATTATACGCGGAGGGCATTAAATGCCGTTTAAGTAACGATTGATATGAGTAAATTCAATCGAAAATTCGGTGACAATATAATCAATGTCCCTCTCAACGCGGATCCTATTTAGCGCTTCTCAATCACCGGCATCTCTTACGACGATATGATACGGATATGAATATTATCTACAAGTCAGTACTGCTACTTTACAACTTATTCAAGTGTATACAAAAGAATTTACAATAATAAAAATTTAGAAATAAAATAAAAATATCAAAGAATAAAAATATATCCAAATAATCAAGTTATATAACTTATCTTGTCTCAGGATACAATCCATTACATGCTACAAATGCTTCGAAGCGTCGTATACATTAATCATAGTTTTTTTTTAAATTCCTCAAAATATTTACAGCGTCTAATGGATCGTACTCCACGATAAAAATAATTGATAGTAAGATAGTAGATAAGTAATTAATAACAAAAGAATAGCATGAAGAATCAAATAGGTGACACTCACATCTTTCATACACTGACCAAAGTAATCCTCTTTGAGTAATCGATTGAATTTGCTCGTATCAATCATTAATTGAACAGTCTTTAATTAAATTCATTGAAATCAATCGTCGATTAAACATTCTTCAATCAACTTTGTTCGAATCAATCGTCAATTAGTTAAACTGAAACATATCTGTTCAACTATTAAATTGGGAGAAATTAAATTGATATTTTTGCAACCCTGTCCAGGTCGCAATCGACATGCGAAATCATATGTATCACAGTGTGCCGTAGCGTAGCTTGAGTGACTTATTATTAACTTTTACAGCGACTCTATAGAAGGTACGCACTAAGACACAAATTTTGTACGCTATTCTTTATTATGTATATATATTGACATATTTGATTTATGTCAATCTATGGAAGAGCTTAATTAAGGCTCTTATTAATTAAGCTTTTAGAAAATACTTTGTGTGTTGGCCACGCGCAATGACGTCCTTACCGTCATTCTTCGTGAGTTCCACCGCAAGGAAAGCTAAGCTTCTACCAGCATGTATAGTCTTAGCATCGACAGTCACTGTTTCACCGGGAAATGCAGCTTTCAAAAACCTGTGCCATTAATTATTAATTAATCGTATTACTTCATAAGCATTTATATGCATATTTTTTATTAATAAAGATGATTAAGTTACGATATTGTGTCGTGTCCAATTTCTAGTCTCTAACCAATATGTCACAACCAAATGTTGTATATGTACTTATTCATACGAGGCAAAAATATTTCACTCATCAGGAAAGTTATATGAAAAAATATCAATGTATGAAGCAACACAGATATTCTAACTGTATATAAATGATCTAATAAATATAACAAAATAAAGAAAGCTAATAAAGAGAATTGAATGAGATCCTTACGTCACATGCAAGTCTACTGAAACTGTAGCTTTTGGAATATCAGAGCTATCCTTGGACAGCAATGCATACGAAGACACACAGTCTATGACTGTACTTGTAAAACCACCATGTAAACTGCCAACAACATTTATATTCTCCTCAGCTACTGTAAACTGTGCTTTACATCTTCCATCAGCAGCTGAGAGTATTTGCACCTGTTCAAAAAAATTTGTTGCAAATATATAACGCTATTTTTACAATAAAAATCAATACATATAATTCTTGTAGGATATATTATTGTAAAAAGTTAAAACTCTCTAATGGGAACTTATATCTGTAATTATATAGGATATTCTACTATATGTCTATTATTAGGTATTTTTGTTGAATGTTTCACACTAACATAGATTCTTCACTATTCTTAAGATAATTTCAATCTATTTTAAAGGTAAATTATATTCTAAAAGTAAATCAATATAGAAATATTAAGAATCAGAGAGTGAAATAAAAAGAGATTGGAGATAGAGATGCAACAAAATATCTTTCACCATGACTTGCTTTAATAGTAATGAAAAATAGAAGAACTACATAATCAAACATTATTGCATAAAAATTACATAAACAAATTGACGATATTATTGCAAATGTTAATCAAATAACAGAAAAGAATAGATGCAGCAGAAGCTACTTTGCAAATATATGAATCTGATCGATATATGCTCTCAAATTCAGATAAGATTAAAAACACACATTAATCAGATTTACAAATTTTACGACAGTTGCAAATCTTCTCTACTGAACACAGCCAATATACTGCAGATGAAATGTGTTATATTGCTAATTCTATAGGGAAAACACAATGACTTGGTTATTAAACAGAATTTAAAACAATTTGCATATAAAGAATATATGCATAAAAATAACTTATCCATATGTATGCAAAATAATTTATAATAATAACAACATACAAATAAAATAAAAATATCAAAAAATAAAAATATCCAAATAATCAAGTTACGTAACTTATCCTATCTCAAGATACAATCCATTACATGCTACAAATGCTTCGCAGCGCCGCATACATCAATCATAGTTTTTTTTAAGCTTATCGAAACATTTGTAGTATCTAATGGATCGTACTCCAAGATAAAAATAATTGCGTAGATAAATAACTAATAACAAAAGATAACATGAAGAATCGAACAAGTGACACTCACATTTTTCAAACACTGACCAAAGTTCTTAGTTGTTAGAACTTTCTCAAAGAAAAGCCTTACAACTTCCGCAACACGAGACATGATGGAGATATATCAGTATTATTTCACAATTACGTCAAAACAAATATATGATGGAAACACGATCTATTTTTATAGATGCGACGTTCTTGTTACGTTTAATGTGAAATGTTTTACTAAAAAAAAATTCAGATAAATAAAAAATATTTATTGGTTACTCAAAACGCAAAATATTAATTTTCTCTCATACAATTAAATTCATAATAAGAATTACTTTTTAGTATTACTTTAGTAAAGACATAAAAGCTCTTACTGCGAACTTCTTTTATTTGAACGTGACTGGTGAGCCTTTTGACCTCACCCATAAGCATATTTAAATATTCACTGTTACAAAAAGTCATAGGCTAACAACAATTATACGGTTAAGAAATTTATCACGTCGACAGTACATAGGTCGACGGTGCTAATGAGCATGTGCTCTAACACCATTCTGCATAGAGATACTGGTTTCTGATTCGATGCATCGAAAATCAATTCTTTTTTGACGATGCATCGATTATTTCTGCAATTCTTTGGATAACTGATTAATCGAAAATCGATTCTTTTCTATGCTGAATCGAGAAATTGATTATTCGCGGAAAATGGTGTTTAGGAACTAACCCGCAAGGGCTAAAGTCCCGGCCTAAACGCGCTGTCACGACAAGACATGTTCGAACACGTTCGGACCGTGTGATTTTTTGGAACGTGTCTTGGAATTTTCCAAGATTTTACTCTCGATATAGATCTTTAATCAGAAAAATGGCGTTGGGGCATTACTCTTAGAGAGGCCTGGACCAAATATTGAAGTTGAAGTTGAACCCGCAAGGGTTCCGGGAACCAGTACTGAGAGAGAGAGAGAGAGAGAGAGAGAGAATTGATTATTCATATAGCATGTTTGACTCTGGGTTAACCTACTCTGGGTTATTTAGCCTACGTTTATTGGTCGAACAAGTACTTATAAGCTTTATGATTGGCTAGTAGAGACTTATGACGTCATTAACTCTCGGAGCGATTAACTCAGGGTCAGTCGAACACACTAATAGAGTCCTGTCGGACGTTGTGTTGGGATCACAGACTTCTATATATTACTAGACTGCTAACTCCCTTATATAGTGCTTTGCAAAATTGACCCCGAAAAGTATGTATTAAGCGAGGAGCACACACTCTTGCATAAAGGTATATGCCCATATTCTGAATCCTCTTTTATCTATAAAAGTGCCTCTAAAAGAGGCTTAGAAGCCACCTGATTGGCTAAGAAGCTACATTTAAGGTACTTTTATCGATAAAAGAGGATTCAGAATATGGGCCATAATGCACAACACAAGAAAATTGACCAGAGTTCTCATTTCTATTGCCATGATGAAAATGAAGGACTCTGATTGGTCTATTTTCTCATGCGTTGTGCATTATAGTCCATATCCTGAATTTCTTTTTAGAAAAAGAAAAAGAATAGCTTTTTTGTCCACAGCTGTGCATATTATATATCGGGACGTCTAGGGAATCGAAGTTAGCAGTCTAGTATACTTTAATCTAAGTTCATCTCGTATGCTTCGTGCTGAAAGCATCATTCTATCTTCTTTCAGCATGTAATGAGCAATAAAGATAGAATGATACTTTTAGTACGAGAACGTACAAGCGAACTCGGCTATAAATATCTATGCTTGGTGTATAGCCGTTTCTCGTTAATGAATATTTCATGCATATCCAGAAATGTGATGACAGCGTAGATAAAAAGGCTGGCGACAGGTTATCTGTCAAACTTGATTTAACCCGTTCGGGCCGGTCGGACGTATTGTGTGTTAGCACGTTTAATGGTATAACACAAAATATATTCTACATTATAATGCGACTCGATGGTACCTGTTATTAAAGAAAAGCAGACATGGAGAAGATTGCAGCGAACGAGCTGATTCAAAAATTAATTTCCGGCACGTACGAAGAATTTTGTGAAAACATTGTTGTCTTTTTAGACAGTGTGAGTATATTGTTATTAAAACTTGGAGATTATAGTTGATTGTATTTATGTGTCTCATGAATTTTCATGTGTCGCTCTTTTGTTCCTTTCGTGTGTAATTTAAATTTAAATTTACCAACTATTGATATTTCAGTACAATAAGAAGACCAGTTTTGATGAACTGAATAATAATTGTTTACGGGAGAAACTATGGAAGAAATTATTTCATTATTTAACAAATCAAACATATTTAGATTACAGACATCATTGTTTGGCTGCCTTGAGAATACTCAGGTAATTTAATTACATATATGTATAGTACATTATAATAGTTATAATAATACCATACCTTCCGTATTTCAGCCGAGACAAAACTAATTTAGATGATTTAATTACTGATAATGCAATAAAAATTATATTGCTAAATGCGGGCCTGACGAAAATATGCGATGAAGAACAAATTTCATATACAGTGGGTGAGTAATGAAAATAATTTTATTATATAAAGTATCAAACAAGTTTAAATGATAATCTAATCTTAAAAAGATTGATATAAGATTTATTAATTTTATTATATAAATACTTTCCTTTGTCTTTTTTATATTTTGTTCTTTTTCTCTTAATATTCACTACTCTTTCTTTTAATTGCAGTCATGATAGAATCATTAAAGTTGCTGTGCAACTTACTATTCAATAGTATAAGAATGCAACAATCGAAAGTACTAATATCCTCTTTGCCTTATCTGATGGACCGTGTTAGAAATTATACAAATGACACTCCATATGATGTCAAATTATTTGACATGAGAATACTGTTTCTAATCACTGCGTTGAATACTTCCACAAGAGATGTAGTCAAACGTGACTTGTGTGGTGATGTATGTCTTATTAAAATAATAGAGGATTTTGTGACACGTAATCAAGATAATGACGAGACTACTGTTATTAAGGTAAAATTACATTATATAAAATTGTTTTATGTCACAACGAATGACTGATGAATGACTCAGCGTATAAAGTCAGCAATGTGGCTAATAAGCCTTTTCACTGTTTCCAGACTGAAGAAATCACAGTAATTTGCGAAGTTTTAAAAGTTCTATTTAATTTGTACATACAATCAGACGACACTGGAATTGAGGATCAAGAGAAACATAGAAGTCTGGTGTTAATTTTGTATAAGCTATTAATTCTTAAATATTCAATACAGCAAGATGATCTTGAAAGGTAAGATATATGTATAAGAATGTAGAAGAAATATATATATATATATATATATATATATATATATAAAACAAATCATTAGGAGGAATGTACGTTTATTGTGTTAGGAGGAATATACATTTATTGTCATATTTTAGCAATGTCATCAACTTGTTAACTGTAATATCATACAATTGTTATGCACCAATTGTACAACCTGTCAAGTACAACGATCACAAGAGTGTGTATCAAGGTATGGACATGAGTGCCGTGTGCGTTTTACTTAGATTCTTAGATCAAAGATTGAACTGTAAAACGCATTTGATCGAGAATATCTCTCCAATAGTTACCGCTCTGATCAGACTCGTTAAGTCGGAGACAATTATTCGCAAATATGTAAGATTGCAGGTAAGGAAAGAACTTTACGATTTCTGAGTGTTAAGATTTGAAGAACTTTGAAAATTAAGAGTTTAAGAATTCCAAGTTCCGCGATTTAATCAAGTTTTTAAACGTAAATTTTTTAAATGGTTGCACATGTACGAACATAGAAAATGTTTCAGGTTCTGCCTCCGTTAAAGGACGTGATGAATCGACCTGAAGAAGGGACGACATTGAGAGCCAAGTTATGCAAGTTACTTACGTCGCCTCTTATAGAGTTACGTGATCTGGTTGCGGAACTATTGTTTATCCTTTGTAAAGAAAATGGTAATTTATCTATTTACCTCAAAGTGTCCTAACATACGTAACAAAAATTCATATTTATTTATTGTTAGGATATTTTAAGTTCGCAAAATAGATTTTGTCTAGAACTAATGATTATTATAATAGTATCATTGTTACAGTTAATCGCATGGTAAAGTATACAGGATACGGAAATGCGGCGGGAATGTTCGCAAAAAAAGGATTGTTAGGGCGCGGCCAGACGGAAACAGGATATTCCTCCGAGTCGGAAAACAGCGAAACTGAAGAATATCTCAAGTATAAAGAACAGTGAGTAATCGAAAAATAAAAGTATTAGGAAACGAAAAACCATTATCTCGCACTATTACGTTATTTCGTAAAGTTCTTTGCGAAATTTTTATGTTAATCAGAAAGATTTGGCAAAATCAAATTGTATTCTTTGTTTATAGAATAAATCCGGTGACTGGATGTTTCGAACATCCCAAACCAAATCCACTCGAAGGCATGACGGAGGAGCAAAAAGAATTTCAAGCCTTACAGCTGGTGGATCTTGTTGATAAGTTAACGAGGTAAATTGTATATATCGAAACAATTTCATTATTCACGTATCATATCAATGCTAATTTTAAGTACGTAACTAATACATAACGTGCGTGTATTCATAATAAAATTAATATATATTTATTTTAATATTTACATTAAAATAAGTAAATACATATACACGGACAATGAAATACATTACGAACGATATTGTCCTTTAGACAGGGAGTTGTACGTCCTTGCCGCATCGGAGAAGATGGGAAACCGAAACCTATAGAACACGTCCTCGAATTGCAGAGTGAACTACCAAAACAACAGTATAGCCGGAGAGATTCCGACTCCGAGTAAATATGACGTTATACACATTTTTGAAGTATGCGAAAAATAAATTGGCGATGTAAAGATGTAACGATATTACAAATATAGTCATTTAAATTGAATATTTCTCCTCTCGTTCTCTTATTGCGTCTACGATTGAATCTTTCATTAAATCCGTCACCGACAATCAAACACCATTGACGAGAGTGTAAGATGACTGTAATTAATAAGAAAAACATTCCACATTCGGTTGATTACTTTATTGAAAAAGAACAAAGAACAACATTACAAATTAAACAATTGGCAGGAAATAAAAAATATAACAGTTTCCAAAATCACATGAAATATTTAAACATTATAATTTTGGTAAATTGTGTTATATGTGCTTTGTGAGCATCACAATATATTATTATTGCATTGCAGCTATGCGCAGACAAGAATGTATACTTCTACACGTTTTCAAATAACTGCATAGTGATATCATTTGAGAATATCTTAGTATAGGATAGTACCATATGAATTGACAGGTAATGGCAAAATTGAGTTGATATGATGAAGCAATGTACGATCAACAGAGAACATTTACTTTAAGGCTAAATCTTTTTCGTCCATCCTATAATAAAATATTTTCAATATAATACATTTGACAAATATATAAGTATAGCAAATGTTCCATATCTTTAATTATGTAATACATTATGTAGATTAAAATATTTTTTTTTCTTTTTTGTAAAAGTGTATATAGATGTGTATACGTATAATACCATAAATTTGAATATTTCATATAAAAATGAAACTAAAATTTTCTTTTATAGGTACAAGGTAGAAAAAAGCTGATTCGCGGTAAACAGAGAGAAAAAAAAATAAAGAAGAGAGTTAGATCTGTTATATAGGTATCTCGGGGACTAGCCTTGACAAACTTTGGAAGATTAAAAATCGTAAGACTTGTAAACTTAAGAAATAGATACATATTGAAATACTTGAGAAATTCAAGTAGTCCGATGACGTGTGTTTAAATATAAAGGCTGAGTAGAGTTTCCGCGGGGTGAAGGTGGGAACTGATTCGCGTACACAGTCAATCTGGACGTGTGAATTCTAAATAATACGTTTACATTACAAGATGACCATGCTCCTTGGCATCCCATTAGCATATAAAAAATATATATCGGTATACACGCTTTCCATATTGCATTACAATTTACCTTTTCATCAGTTGTACTATTCTTATACAGTTTACATTTTGAAGTATAAGTGATGTCGGAACATTTAAAACCTTTCCCTTTCTTTCGTTCTTTTCTCCTTTTCTTTCTTTTTTTTTTCAAAGACAGTCGTTCTATGTAAAATACCAATGGAGGTTTCAGGAAAACATGGTTTACACACAGTAAATCCGCAGTATCGATTTAAAATAGCTACAATATCGACAAGATGAATCGCCATAAATAACACAAGCCGAATCGTTAAGAAGTATCGTTCCGGATACTCGGTGGTGGTGTAATATGCGTATAGAGTAGTCATTTAATTAGATAGATTCGAGAAAGTGTCGCTAAACTAATTTTGCATAGAGAAACGTGACAATAGCTCGGGCTCGATTCTGCTGGAGCAATCGCTCGACGTACAAACGGAAGCTTATTTCTCCCTTAACGATTAAAAGCTCACAGTGTGATCTCTCTCTCTTCCTCTCGCTATAACAAGCTTCACGAACGATAACGCAACCGATGACAGTGTCACTCTCAGAGCAAACGATTTCTCTCAGTCAGTCTCGCGATCGCTACTTAAAAGTAAGTGTGGAAACACGGAGATCACCGAACTTCAACGGTACGCTATTATGCAAGTTGACACTGTTTCAGCATACCGATGGAATGCAACTGTATGTGTAATGTGTTTTAGTGGTCAATTTGATATGTAAACAAAGTACCTCCAAAAAGGAACGTGTGTTTTAATATCAAAATAATATTACAGGTGTATAGGGCAATGGCAAAAACTTTTCTTTACTCTCTCTCTCTCTTCCATACACACTCTCTTTCTTTCTTTGTTCATTCATTCATTCATTCATTCTTTCATTCATTCATTCGTTTGTTCGTTCGTTCGTTTGTTCATTCATTCATTCATTCGTTCGTTCGTTTATTCGTGAATTAATTAATTAATTAATTCTTTCATTCATTCGTTCGTTCGTCCACTCGTCCATTCCTTCGTTCATTCGCTCGTTCTCAGCCTGTTAAGTATTACATCGAGTAACTAATGCAAATAAATAAAGCTAGTGCTGTTTGAGGAATGAAACCAAGTAACAACATATACGCGATTACACGCCTCTCATTACTTATCGTCTAAAGATAGAATACATTAAATATTTGTACTTTAACTGACTAAGCAAGGATTTAACTGTAATATTTTTTTTGTTTTCTTACTCTAAGAGCTTCGATACCCACACACGACGCAAACTCAAAAACATGAATAAGATAAACTTATGAGAAATAAAAAATAAACCGTAAGCAATACGTGTTGTGTATAAAATACTCTGATTAGTCTGTCCTTTTTCTTTTTTTTTTTTCCTTCTTCTTTTGGCACTAAGGAATTTAAATTTTTATATCTCATAAAAGTGAAAGATAAAATGATCTCTATTTGGAATGCAGTTAAATCGTAAAGTAGAATTAACAACAATACTTGTTACATCTAATTCACTATACGAATAAATCGCCTTTTCTCTTTCTCTCATGTTGAACAAGACACCACGACAAGCTATGTATACAATTTGTTGTCACCTCATCTCAGACTGAGTATTTAAAACAAAGAGAAAAAGAACGAAAAATACAAGATAAACATTGAAAAAAACAACTAAAATGCAATGAAATGTATAATAAAAGTCGGTCGATAACGCTTTTTTATCTTTTTAAGTAAGATATGAAATTATAAAATTAATGAAACAAAAAAAATATGTATAAATAATATAAATACAGTTTATATATGGAAGCAGCTCTGGTTCATCCAATTGCGCAAATAAAACGAGATAGATCAAAATAGCAGGCCTTAATACCGTGCCTTCAACAACGCTTGCCGAAGGAACGATACTCTAACGTATCCGAGTACGCTGAGATAGCATCTGAAACAGCCAATGGAACACATAATGCTCGCGTAAAGAATTAAAATTAATGATACAATATATAATAAGACAATGTATAAGAGCGAGTAAGGAATAAAAATATCGTTACAAAAATAACGTGGAACTCTTACACATAATAAACCATCGCGCTTTTTTTTATCTCTTTTGATCGTAGGTTTTTCTCTCTTTTCTCATTTTTTTCTCGTATAAATATAAGTTAAATTATGCTGAAAGAAAGCACGGAAGGGAAAAAAAAAACAAAAAAGGATGAAAAGATTGCGGACTCTCTAATGTATAAGCCATGTCTAGTATATATATAAAACGATATAGAGCTGTTAATTTAGGGTACTCTCGAGAAGTAACTCCTTCGTTACGCATTCCTCGTTTATAACCAGCTATATAGTGTTAATTGGCCATGCCCTAATCAATATAGCAAAGTCATACTCTTCTTTAGGATTCTAGGAAGACTATGATTAACCGTAGGCTAGAATTCAGTTTATGTCGTGTCATGTTAGTCCTCTATCCTTCATATAATTGTAGATGCCTCCGTTAATGCTTATAAATCTCGCGGTTAATTCTTATTGTATAGTACGACGCGAAAGATTTTTTCTCTCTCGAAATCAGGAACATATCATCGCGTGATATATGTAGCAACAATTTGTCATCATCGGATACACACACACACACACGACATTACGATGTACAATTCACAAGTATCGTGTGTCATTCAACTTGGATTATGTGTGAAATTGGAATAGAACGGTTCCAAGTGTTTGTAATTATCTCTTCTTTGTGTGTTTGTCAAGTATATATTCGTAAAACAGCTTGTAAAACGGCATGTTGAGAGCAATTTTCGAATCGACGAAAACAAGTACGCACATACTAGCGCTGATTTATAAATAAAACAAGCGACAACTACAATTATCAGAGCAAACAGTACTCGTAATTGAAATTCCACAGTAAACACAGCATCAAAAATTCGGACACAATAATGATAATAATTTCGCTCGTAACACGTAAAGTTAAACAGTACCATTTGAAATGATGTCGAGAAATCGGTGGCACCTAAAAGGCCTTGGAAGTTGTGTAGCAATAAAAACAGTACTGCTAAAGTAATACACACAGAACCCATCGCATATTCAAAATATGATCTTCGATTACGCTGCCAGTTGTAAAACTGCTTAGCATGGATTATGAGAGCTTTTAATATTAGTTTAACAATGTAAGCAAAGTTTATCTAGTACGTACAGAGTGACTATATAATTCTATACATATTAGGATAATAAGACTTTTGAGATTGTAAAAATCATCAAAAAATCTATCACAATTACCATTTACGTAACAAGTAATTCTCGTTCTTTTTTTTTCCTTTTAATATTATTGTTGTAATTTAAACATCAAGGCAAATAAGGGGTGAATTTCAACAGTGGCCTAAATTAGCCAAGTAGTCTTTCACAGATAAAAATATGTAAATAGAGTAAATCTATACTAAAATATTCAAGTATATATAAGGTGAGCGTAATATAATAATTTTGTGAGGTAAAAGACCCTCTCGTTAATGGTCATCCATTCGTTACACTATGAGTTTTTAATATGACTGGCAAAAATTTTGCAACATGTTCTCTTTATTTTGAATATCCTCTTTTTCTTTTTTCATATGTAACGTATCATCAGAGACGATTGATGGCTCTGCGTTAGGTGTTATTGTGCATAAACACACCCTCCAGACGGCACCAATGGTATCTCTCATTGATACTTCTAATTATATTTACCTAGCAACAACATCAGAGACTCTTTAAGGACACAACTTATCCTGACGATACTATTATCACAGGCATTATTTATATAACTCTGCTAACCATGACTATTAAATATTTCAAGATTAGTTTTTCTCTCTTTCCTTTTTTCTTCTTTATATATAAAATTAAAACTTCTAACATTACGAGATGAGTACGACTGATTAGCTTAGGTGTATGTACGTAGGCTTCGTGCAATTTTATTAGAAATTCTGACATTATGCGCGAATTTTTTTTTTAAATAGCCTCCTATTACTGTCCTCTTTCTTTTTCCGTATTCCTCGTTCTTCTAATTTCACGTTTGTCCCATACGTGAATAATGAAATCAGACAATTTCCTGTTTGCAAAACAAATCCGATAAAGCTAGTCGCGTATAAATAAATAAATAAATATACATATATTTATGTAAATAAATATGTATGTATTTATTTATTTATTTATTTATGTATATTTATGTATATATGGATGTGCTACCTAGCATTTGGTATGGCAAGATAGTATTCGTAATTAAACATTATTGTAGATAATATAAGGTAACACAGTGTAGCAATCTGCCAAATATCTGATGTACATTGTTGTATACACATTGCATTTTAGTTCAATCAAATCTTAAGGCTGATCATGTAAACAACCCTAAAAAATATGTGTATTTCTATATATGTATGTGTCTTATGTGGTTTCCCCCCCTTCTCTCATGGATCGTATTAATATGTACATAAATAGAGGTTGTTTAGCAAACTGTACGTTATCTTCCCTCTCTTTACATAGATAAAGTATCGTCCCTATGTGATACCGGGGTGGCATATGTTCTTACGAATCTTATATAATACATTACACAGAATCGTTACCCTTACATCTACGAAATGCGGGGGCAACGATTCCTGTAACTTTATAACAAATACATTTACACTGTATGGATATATTATTCGCTAGCACCACGAACCAATAATTCACACACGTATATATATTATATTCATATATAGTGGACCATAATAATAAAGCATCCTGAGTAAATATTGTAACCATTATGTGTCTCGTCTAATTTTAACAATGCACAAATGGGATCTACTCGTTTTTTTTTCGTTAAGTGTAAATAATTATTTCACCTTTTATGCTCACAAAGTATCCTCTGTACGACACCTTCCTTATAAGATATTAAACGTTTGATTTTCAACATACCATAATCTATTCCTTGCACATTAACGTTGCTTTTATATTAACGTTCTCAACTATCATTTTCAAACGCGCAGAAAGAAATCAGGAACATAGCTCTCTTTAAGCTTCGTGCCTGCTGCAATGAGGAGTATCGTTTCATTGTCTTTCTTTAGAAATACGATATGATAAGAGCAGGAAGTACTACCAACTACCTCGCAGCATGCAACGCTTTTTTTTTTATTTTTCTGTTAAGCGGAAAATTTTGATCCTCACGTCATGAAAGTTATCCTGCTGAGCTTATTAGTTACTTATAGAGTTCTTAAATGAAAAATTTTGAACGTAATGTGTGCACCCTTGTGTATCCTGAAGCACTGATTAGGACTAAGACCTATGTTCTTCTCAAATGTAATTAAAACCAAGACGAGAACGTCTTATTTCACAAGCGTAAAAAATGAAATTATCGGCGTGTAAAAGGTGCTCGTTGGAGACTAGAATAATTTGATTTACAAACATACTTAAAATACTGATGTGTCAAAAATGATGTATAACAACCAATTTTGACGGAAGGCCATATGTAGATTGCTTTCTCTACTACAAGCGACCCGACTGGCTTCGGTCGATATAACGCTTACTGCTTCTTTATAACTGGTTCCACTTAGTTAATTTAATTTACTTTGGCAGTTTACCAAAATGCAAGTTGCTAAGTTACTATTATACTGTTTGGTCGGAGACGTACATTACCTTTTGCTTTTTTTTCAACATTGTTACTTTCATAAAAGAGGGACGCATTATACTTTTACAACTATTAAAGCTGCATGCTGCACTTGTTTCTATTGCTTCAATAGGCCCAAAATTCGAACATAATTCCTTGGGCGTGCCTTTCCCATCTTTCGTTGAGAGCGGTTTCCAAAGGTTTCCACTTGCAGGAAAGAAGTTATACTTATTCGTCTGATTCCACTTCATAATATATAAAGTGTGTTCAATACGAGGACATGGTGGTTGTTTTTCGCCAGTGTTACAATATATCCCTCCGAAGTTATTTTTAAGCCACAACATCGAGATACCTATTATATAGTAACATTTTTATGTAATATTCGGATAAAGTAAATGTTACTAATGAAACATTTCCTATTTAAAAAATCACCAATATGAGTAACGTAAGCGAAAATGAAATACAGGTACGAATATTTATCGAATAACTTTATGCCAAATTGCCCAGTACAATGGTAAATTATTACTGGCAATCGAATGCGCGTTAAATGCAATGTATAAAAGCTGGAGCATTTGATAAAGAATATATATTATAAATTATCTATTATATATTTTCTATTATTATATATTATAAAATATCTTACCTTCACATATGGACATTCAAATTCCGAAATTAAAGACCCATCTCTGGAAAAGACAGCTACATGGAAACGATTGCCATGCGAATCTCCAATTAATACGTCTCCTGCATCGCTAATATCGATCCCGTTTGGGAAGTTTGTTAAATTCTCACAGCCAATGCGACGCAGGAATTTACCATCTTCGTTAAACACCACAACACAATGTCCTTTAAAGTCGCAAACGAAATATTCCTTGCCTAAAAATTTGTACACAATTCATTTATAAAAGATCGCAAGATATCGATAAGATCATAATAATCGTCATATAAATTACTGTAATTTTGCATATATGTAATCTTTCCTCTATGTCATGTTATGTGATCAGTGGCAATGTTATTGCAAAAAGAAAAGAAAACAGAGAAAGTAGAAAGAAATGCCCACCACTGATAGCGATATCACTCGGTTCTCTCATGTAGTCACTGCAATCAAACCACCTTAAAAGGTCTCCGTTATCACTGATTACGAACACAGTTGGCGACACACTGTCAACAGCCACAATGTGTCCTTGACTGGTAACAGCTAGGCCAGCTACGATATCGATGTAACGAATAGCGATTTTCTTTATAAAGTGACCGCTCTTCGTAAATATTTGCATACGGGACCGTTCGTTTCCCCGATCACATACAACGAATTTGCCATTATTTCTCATAACGGCCACTTTTCTGGGATACCACAACTGTCCTTCCTCTTTGCCAGGAACGCCGAATTGAAACTTGAAGGTACCAGTCTTATCAAAAATCTAGAGTCACAGAACATAAAGTTTACATGAGATTTGCGCAATGCTCGCATCTTCGTAGTTTTGCTTATAATAAGGTACTTATTATTGTGCTTACTAATTACATATCTCACTGTAAGTAGTTGATATATAATTAATATCAATACCTGAATTCTATGATTATTCGTGTCCGCGACAATAATATCCTCGTCGGTTCCTAGACAAAATCCATGTGGCGAATTAAATTGCCCTTTACTAGGTCCTAATTGTCCAAATTTGCTTCGGATATGCATAGGCGTCAATTTTGTATTGTTTGAACGCGGATGAGCATAATTCGCTGTCCCTGATCCGGTTACATTGGCAACAGTATTCCCTACTACTACAGGCATGTTATGCATGGAATCACCTATTAAATCGTCTAAAAATAAAATATCGATATCGATAAGCCAATGCAATAATTACAATGACAAAATTATTTTCTCGTTAATATCTCTTACAAATAGTATAATCACCCGGAGTACATGCTGAGTATATGTTATTTATAAAATAAGTAGAATATGTACAATTTTTTCTTCAATATAACAATTATTAAATATTAACGATTGCGCACTCATATTGATTTTTACCAGTTAGTTTCTTTACCAGTTTCTTTTTTTTTTTTTATTAGAATTACACAAAGAGCAACGCGTTATTTGTAAGATCAGTACAAAATACGTTTTTTTTGCAGTGTTAACATATATTTTAATTAGCATGGTCTTACCAGTACCCTGTGAAAGTATTGGCGAAGTGGAAGAGGACATTGACTGGAATCCTCCATTTAATAAACTACTGGCAGCCAGAGAGCCCACTATTGGGGCGTCCACAATGGCTGGTGAAGATCCACGTCCCAATACTAATCCACCACCACCGTTAATCGTAGCATTTCCCAGATCTGTGTAAAAAATAAGTCAATACATATATATTTTTTTACATGGATTATAATGAACAATTCTATATATACATGCTTTTCAAAATGTACAACTTAAATCAAACATATCTTTAAGCAAGTAAGAGCGTAACGCAGATGTTGGAGCGAATATAATGGGTAAGTCAGTATATACATTACATGAATTTCTATTAAAAGTAACTAAAAGTTTCTCTTATTTTATAGTTCTATAATTTTGTCTCTTTTTTCTTAAATGATTAAACTGCAAAGTCCCATTCAGGTTGCAAAGAACATAATTATGGCCTTGAATCGTGTCGTCGTTATTTGTCGTTGTACATCGCACAAATCGTTTTATCTCGTAGATTATTTTTTTATAAGATAAAATAGAGGGCACAGAAGTTAAAGTTACAAAAGTAATGGGCCAATGAGTTCTTCCTTTAGTGAATAAATTTAGAAAAAAATTATACATAAAAAAAGCATAAAAAAAAGAGAGAGAAGATATAACCGAGAAAGAAAAATATAGAATGCGAGTAGTTGACCACGATCCATAAAATATAAACGCAAATCGGTTTACATATTCGTTGTGGCAGCGTAGTTCGTTGGCGCTTACCTTGATTGCCAAGAGTATTTCCTAGTTTTGCAAGAGCCTGTAAATTGTTAATGGCGTGGCTCGTTGAACTTAGGTCCCCGGCAAACAGGTCTGCCAACGTGAAGGACGGAGTTGGACTAGGGTTCGAGCTAGGTCCTACGACATCGGTGTCACCCACCATGTCCTTCTCCGCTAAACTAGCCAGTCGCTGGAGATTGTACTCTTGTATGCTGGTCAGCCCGTGAATAGGACCTGGTGGAAGAGGTACGGGTGGTGGTGGAGGCGGGATATTTTGAGGACTCGTGGTTGGCGGAATAACGAACGAGGGTTCACCTTCGAACGAGGATTGCATTGACGCGGGAAGCGAGATGGGGGAGCTTGTACTGAGAGAACTCGCACAGCCGATCGAAGTGTGGACCATCTGCTGATTCGTAGAGACTCCTGATATAGTTGAGATCGGCTCGGGAAGAGTCTTCACTGAGGTCGATGTGCCCTCGGTACGAAACTTTCCAAATACCTCCTGCAATAGATTTTCTCTTTGTTGTAACGTAATAACGAGCGATTAAATCAAAGAAACTATAAAGATATGGAATATATTATACTTTGTCAGACGTGCATTTACCTTGACGGTTTTTTCGAAATGATTATAGTCGGTCTGAAACTCGATCGAGTATGTTACGTTGTATTTTGGAGTGTTTTTTATCAGGTTCATCAATTGTGCTCCTACGACACGACGAAGAGCTAACATTTCTACTGCGTCGCCGTGCTCAAGGAGTCTTGAAGTGAAACGACAAGCATCCTCTATTTTCTCCACGGTTTTTTCAACACTGCAATATATTTTAATACATATAATGTAGCGGGAAACGTAACGATTAATATAAATGAATAAAGGTGCAAGCAAGTGGAAGTAATTGCACCTGTTTTTTCATTAACCTGGTTTTACAGCATTTTGCTGTAACATATTAAAGCTCGTATTAATAATTGTTACCTGAAATTTGTCTCATGTGATATACTCAGATTTTTATTCAGAGTTGAATCCAAGTTTTTACCAGTTAAATTATAATAAATGTGACATTCGTATATGTAAGCGTGATTCAACTGGAAAATTCTCATCTAACTCTAAATTTAAATCTGAAAATTTTACTTGAAACAAGTTTCAAGTAATAACTATTAATACGAACTTTAGTTTCATCCTTGATTCGTGAAACTTATCGTCTTCATTCACCGATTTTTGTACGTACTTGTGAAAAGTGTCCATTATTTCAAGTTCCCTGGCTTCGTGAAGTTTTCCGAGTTCTTCCAATGCGTTAGCTTTACATTTTTCCAGTACGGCCTTGTAACTTTGAAAAGTTTCCACAATTAGATCTTTTGCTTGGTCGTGTTGTACCTGCAGCTCGCTTAACGCATTATCTAATTGCGTCGAGATCTGATCACATTCGGAAATTTTCGCTTTACTTTCAGCCATCAGATTAAATAATTCCTCTTTCTGTCGTGGTTCTGCATCTGTCAGTCGATCGTACTGATGCTCTGGAGCTTTATGTTCCACAAGTAGACATTCGTTGCAGATAGGTTCCTAATTATACCCAAATATATACATATATATTCAAGTCTTTTTCAAGCTTCATTCTAATAAAAAGAATTGAACATTATAAATTTTTTTTTAATAAAGCAAAACTTTTGTATCATAATAAATGCATCAAGAAACTACCAATATACAGAATAAGTCAACAACTACTGCCACCTTGAATATCGAAATAGAATATTAAAGCTATTCTATTTAGAAAAAAATTTTCTTATGATAGAGCTTTTTTTCTGGGAGATAGATATTTGATCTTAAGATTATCTTTGTTTTTTTGCTTCAAAGATAATTTAATAGTTATCGACATCTTGGAATTGATTTACCATACCTATTTTGGTTAACAAATATCTATTAGGAAACAATCTCTTTGAAGTAAGCTATCTTTCTAAATTTTTACAGAAATGCGCTCTTATAACTAAAAATATATAACAATCGATCGGTACCGATCAATATTAGATAACAAGTTAGAGAATACAATCTTTCTGGAACCTCAAACTTTTGAAGTCCTTATTAATAATTATTACTTGAAACTCATTTCAAGTGACATACTTAGATTTAAATGCAGAGTTAGATAGGAAATTTTCAGTTGAATCACTATTATATACAGCTATAAATATTTTACATATATCATAATTCAACTGAAAAACTTTAATCTAACTCGAAATATTAATCTGAGTGTCTTACTTACTACTAGATAAGTTTCAAGTGACAACTATTAATATACAGATCTTCAGAACCTGATGCTCAAATAATTAAATCTATCTTTATTTATATATTTTTTTTTACATTATATATATATTTTTTCAATTGCTTCCTTGTATTCATATATAAAAGATAGGATTTTTCTTGAAGTGCACAAGTATACAGAGTTTTCATCATCATCATATCGATGTCCATAATCTTTCTACTAGTTGCAATGATTAGGCAGGAAGAAACCTGATCAATATCGAGATGCAATCATAAAAAATTCGAAAACGTTGCTTTTCGAATTCCTTATTTAAATAAAACAAATTAAAGTTACTTTCACTTTTTAAAATAAAATCATATATAATTTATATAAAAAAAAGTCTTTTTACCTGTAGTATTATAAAAAGAATCAAAACAAATTCAATAATAATTCATAATGTTATTTTCGCTGACATTTAATAGTGAAAATATGGACAGAATATAATGTTTGGAATACAATGTAATGAATAATGTTAGATGTGTCCAGGATATGTTCAAAATATAATTCATTTTCTGCAACACAAAACTCCACATTTTGTAAGAGTTTTCTATGTCGCATTAATTAGTAGCATTAATTAGTAATTATTTTGATTTATGTTTCTGCACATGCTGTGTTATACATTGTTGAAACTCTTCATTATTTCATTAGGTTCTTTTTGCTGTGAAAAAGCAATAAAGATAATGTTACAAGTTACTATAGAATTTATTTTGACTCTTTTTACAATACTATAGATAAATATGATTTTCATTTAAAAAAAGTGAGTGACCCATTTTTTAAAAGTATATTAAAAATAGGTCATTTTTGACCCATTAATGAAACTTTAATCAACTATGGGAAATTGCTTCTAGGATCTTCTAAAAATAGAAAATAACCATTATTTGTCTACCATCCTTGAAAAAAGCTCTGAAAATCTAGATTTATTCATTGTTGAAATAGTCACACATGTTAAATGTTCTTAAGCTTTGTATCCTTAATATGTCTTTAAAATCAATTGCACATTTATGTGTTAAATAGTAAATGTATAGAATTTGATTTTTAGTTCGCGCGCGCGCGCGCGCGTATGTGTGTGTGTCGCGTGTGTGTGTGTCGCGTGCGTGCGCACGTGCGTGTGTAGGAGATATATGTATATGGGATAATTATGAAAACTCTGTTTTTTTCCCTCTCAGTCAAATTCAGAACCACAAATCTGATAATCCTCCTTAATTTTTTCCTTCATATTTTTTCTTCTTTTTTTTATTTCTCAAAATATTTCAAGCAAAAAATTTGTTAGATAATTACTAAAAACATAAATAGTAGGTTTTTCCTTTCATACTCTGTATGCAAAACATAAAAATATAATACAAAAAACAAATTTCCCTATATTTACAACTCATTTCTTAAGACATAAATTAATTATTAATTATTGTAGAATTAATTATTGTAGAAACATCAAGGATATAAAGCTTAAAACCACTTAATATGATTATTTCAACAATCAATAATAAATCCGGATTTTCACCAGATAACCTGGTAGATAAATAATTGGATTTGCTCGACACAGTCGAGCAAATTTCTCCTTAGGTACATTTTATAATATTCTTATAAAGACAATAAATTCTTCTTTTAAGTACATGATAATGAGGTTTTCTCAAATTTGTGAAAAATATATTTTAAAACTATTATCAAGAAGATATCTTTTGTAACCATAAAAATAACCACTATTTAAGAGAAGGAAAATGAACCAAGTAATCGCTTATCTCAACGGTGGGACAATATTTTTCTCGGTATTGAACTCCCTTTTCTGTCCAATCATTGTAACCAATAAAAAATATAGTTAATACCATTACAATGAATACAGTCTGTATGTAACTGAAACAGAATTGCAAAACATAGGTCCAGATTCTGAATCTTCTTTTATCTGTAAAAGTGCCTCTAAAAGAAGCTTAAGAGCCACCTGATTGGCTGAGAAGCTATATTTAAGGCACTTTTATCGATAAAAGAGGGTTCAGAATATGGGTTCATACTCTTTGCTCTATCAGCAGTCGACTCACCTGACACGTGTGACAGTAGAACTTCATGTTCTCGGCGGGATGACACTCGCAAAATATCGGCTTATGTATCGGGATAGCTTCCTTAGATTGCTTGAGGTCTTCAAACGCCACGACCTTGTGGCTCTCGAAGCAGCGCATGAACTGGTGTGCCGTGTTGCAGTTTGGGCACAGGAAATTGGCGCAGTCCGAACAGCGCGCCACAGCGCTCTCTTTGGCCTTGCACGAGGTACACAGCACAGCCATGCTCTCAATGGCGGACATGTCCAGTATGTTGGTGAGAACGTAGTCGCACGTGAGCGACGCGGCGCCCTTAGAACTAACGGAAGTCTCTTGCTGACATATCGGACAGCTGATGACCGAGACCACCTTGGAGTCCCCAGCCTCGTCCATCAGCAGCTTGTCCAAACACACCTCGCAGAACACGTGGAGGCAGGACAGCACTCGGGGCGAGCACAGTTTGTTTCTGCACAAGGTGCAGCCCTGTTCGTTGCTCCCGCCGTTGCCGCATGCCATCTCCTCCAGAGCGTCGCCCGGGTTGCCAGCGCTGTTATTGTACCCGCTGCCGCCGCCGCTGCTGGCGGCGTTCACGGAGTTGCGATTGTCATTGCCGTACAGATCGCTGCCGTCGATCTCCTCGGTGCCGTTGCCGATGGCGCTCGTTGCGCCAGTCGGCGGCACCGAGGCCGCCCCGGACGGAACAGCCACCGTGGACGATGCCATCGTGCGATGCCGTCCGCGCGCGATCCAGCGGGAGAGGGAGCCTCGAGCGGGACGACGATGTTCGCCGCGACGTTCTCCGGCCGTGCACTGCCTGACGAATACCGCTCGCGAATGCGATTTGGCGTCGGGGATTCACACGCTTCTCCTCCCTTCCTGCTCTTTCTCTATTCGTCTCCGCGTAGTCGTCGGACCGAGAGAACGAACGACTGAGAGATGAAAGTTCCTCGGAGAGATTTCACGAGGAGCGCGTACTCCAAAACATTGCACTGTCGCGCGCACTCACTCACTCGCTCGCTCGGAGAAACAAAACACGAGGCGATCGCGAGGAAGCCGAGGAAGCTCACGAGTACACGACGAAATGAGCTTGGTAACGCGAAGACGCACGCCACTGGGGAGAGGGGTGACGGAGGGGGGAGTGACGAAGAGAAAGAGAATAGGGGAGAGGGGGGAAGAGAAAGAGAGAGAAAGACGTGAGCGCGCGCTTGAAAAAATCGAATCGCTCGAGCAGAGTCTGGTTCGCGAGTCTGTGCGCGTGTCGCACGACTAACGGTCTACAATGTAGATATACGTTACGCAGTTAACTTCGTTCTTCGAGACGGTTCGAGAGTCGTGTAACTGACGCAGCCAGTCGTGCGCCTACGTGCATTTATTTACAGTCGTCTTGCTGAGACGTTGTCGAGCACTCACTGCCGTCACTACCTCGCCGTCGTCGTCGTCGTCGTCGTCGCAATACCCCTCGCCGCTGTCGTGGTCGCGCACTAAGACTTGCCAATCGTCGATTTGCTGCAGCTCGACGCTATAGCTCGTGTAGCGCGAGTGCTTTCGAGCATTATCAGTCTCACGGTACGCGCGCGAGATCACTTCGCGATTATACGCGGCGACGACTGTAGCTCTTTTGTCTTGCGATCGACGCCTCGGCCGCGAATATTTCGCACTTCTTCATACGTGGAACGAAGCGAATAAAGCATTCGAACCGTGGAACGAGCTCGTCCCCTCGATATGCGGTCGTTGAATAGTCGATATCGAGATGGGAGTGTCGCATGTCCGAACGATGCTCTCCCGAAACGAAAATGTCGCTAGCCGGCGTCCCTAAACAAACGAATTTCTCTATTGAGTATCGAAATGTTCACGATGGCGAATATCCAGAGAGTCGATTGTGTATCTTAAAACGGAGTGAAAATGATAAAAGTGAATAAATTTATTAGAATATTTATAACTTCATTGGTCAGTGCCTAGTGAATTTGATCATTTTTGTAATTTTCATTTCATTTCGAGATGCTTTCCTATTGCAATATCCTAGACATTTTCATGCATACGGCGACACAAGTTGTATTCCAATTGTCGTAATCGTCGACACAACACTACACATCCGTACTCACTTGAGGGCTATTGTCGGTTGCGTAAACTAGTGTTTTCTAGTGAAAATTAAAGTTAATAAGCATAGAAAAGGCTTGAAAAGAGACTGGCATTTGCGACGTGGATAATATCTTTTTTATTATTTAGATTTTATTATTTATTATTAAAAAATACTAAAATATAAGCATAGTTGAGAAATAATCCTAATCTTACCCGACATACATACAGGGTGCTTTCCAGTTGCATACACTGGCTGCGTTCCGCAAAGCGCATCATGCGCATAATGCGCTGCGTTGGAACAAAAGAGATACGAGAGTGAGATAAAAAAAGAGGGAGAGTACTCAGGTGATGTTCTCGAACGCATGAGAGCGCATGGACTATATTACCTCGGGAGCTGAGGCAGCCTATGCGCTCTCATGCGTTCGAGAACATCATTTAAGTGCTCTTCCTCTCTTTTTATCTCACTCTCGTATCTCTTTCATTCTAATGCAGCGTATCATGCACATGATGCGCTCTGCGGAACGCAGCCAGTGTTACACAAAACCAGCTTATTGGTTACATATTATCTTACAAGATATTTTAGATAATATGTGACCAATAAACTGGTTTTGTGTACGTGTGTCAAGATGGTAAGCAATTGGAAAGCACCCACACATTAGTACACACTTTGTTCCAATTGAATCATGCACAACGTTACACTTTGGCTGAGTTTCCACTGAGCGCGTCACGCGTCGCGTCATCCCAATTAGAGGATTTGATTGGTTAACTCGTGACGAAGGCAGACGACGCGACGCGCTCAGTGGGAACTCAGCCTTTGTGCATTTCTGTATACATATGTGTCAAAATATGTTAAGCAATTGGAAAGCACCCACAATCGACCCCCTGGACTGCGTTCCAAAATTCTCCTCGGTAGAGTACATTTAATTGACCAATCATAATGAAAAAATTCTAATTATCTTTGTTCTTACTGGTCAATTAAATGCTACTCTACCCGTCGAATAGAATTTTGGAACGTAGCTATGTAAAGCCAGCGGCACACAGTGCTTGTTTTCGTGCTGGATTGCTTGTTGGATGGAAATACTCTGTTTTGATTGGTGCATTTCCATCCATCTTAAGAAATACCAATCAAAACAGAGTATTTCCATCCAGCAAGCAATCCAGCATGAAAACAAGCACCGTGTGCCGCTGGCTTTACACCATATATGTATGGGGTGTATATCAGTTGGACACGGGGCAATTGGACACAGTCCAATCACAAGTCGCTGTTCCAAGGGACCCTACAAATGTCTCTAATCACACGGTGCTGTGATTGGCTGTGTCTAAATGCATCGTGTCCAAGTGCACCGCTCCTTATGTATGTACGTAGCTAGAAAGTACCCTGTGTTTCTCAATGGGTAGTGTGAACCTCGCATAATATTATGATTGCAAAACGCGCCTATTGGCCAACTAATCGTGTGACAGATAAAATCTATTCGAAATTTTTAGTGCAGACGTATTTGCATTAGTGCGCAGTGCTTATGTGCGTAAAAAAGTATATTGGTTAGTTTATATTTAATTTTATTTGTGGTTGTAATATATTAATGTTATATAGTTAGCCTTAAAACACTTAATAAAATTATAAAATTGAGATTTGTCCAATTGAAGTATACAAAAGTTAGGATCAGCTGGTAATGAAAGAACAAGATACAAAAATATGTTTATCGTAGCTAAGTATTTAATATGTATTTGATTTCTTTTCTGCACAGTCATACTGTTACTACTGTGGTTTTGAAATTTATTAAAGTGGGACATTCATTTTTGTATTTACTTATTGAAGGATACAATCACTTGTGTATTTTAGTTCAATAATTTTAGTTATTAAATATTTTAGTTCAATTTTAAAAAATATTATAATCTTTTAATAAGATCAAAAGAATTGGAACATTTCAAATTTTACTTTAATCAGAATTTTAATTTAGTAATTTGGAGTGGTTTTTAATGTTATGATATATGATATTTAGTAAAAATTCTAAGATAGATTATATATAAAAAATGTGTGTGCTTTTTAGGACAATGGTAACAGGTCCTACAGAACAAGGAATGCAAGCTGATGTTATATTTGTTATTGAAGGAACGGCTGTTAATGGCGCATATCTTAATGATCTCAAAACAAATTATATCATACCAACATTAGAGTAACTATTGAATTATAGGTACAATTGTACGTATGAAATATATATTATATTTTTCTATTTTTTATTATAGGTATTTTAATCAAGGTAGCATAGAAGACAGGGAATATATCTCTGAGGTATGATATATTACAAATATATATCCCTTATTGTCGCTTATTATTTATATCACTATCAAGAGATAATAAAGTTGGAATATATTTTGCTATAATTGGGATTTGTTTAACAGAACAGCACAACATTATATGGGATAGTTGTTTATCATGCAGCGGATTGTTTACCGGCACCTTGTACAGAGACCTTTGGTCCTTACACAAATCCACATAAATTGCTGATAGTACTAGAAAAGCTCGAGTAAGTATGGAATGCATAATTTATTTCATACAAATAAGTCTTGAGCAAAATTGAAAACTATATTTTTTACATTAGCTTTAAAATTAATTATCTTTAATCTTTTTTAATTAATACTTTTTGAACTATGTTATCAGATCTTTCACAATGTCAAGTTGTAACTTTATGTTATAATGTTATTCATGATTCATTAGAATGGTTGGAGGAAAGGGTGAATCCTATGCAAACATAGGTGAAGGTCTAGCAACAGGATTGCAATGTTTTGAAGATTTACAATTGAAACGAGAGCCCAACACAGCATCCCAAAAACACTGCATCTTAATATGCAATTCACCTCCGTATCAAATTATGATTCAAGAATGTTACAAGTTTGCTGGTCATACTATTGAGCAATTGGCTGCCATTTATCAAGAGGTAAACAATACAAGTGTTATTTACCAAGAAATAGTTATGAGAAGAAAAAATTGACTATGTACGTGACTTTTCAGAGGAACATCAACATCTCTATATTATCACCAAGAAAGATCCCGGCGTTGTTTAAGTTATTCGAAAAGGCCGGTGGTGACTTGCAGTCATCACAAACGAAGAATTATGCCAAGGACCCGAGGCATTTGGTGCTTTTGCGTAATTACAACTTGAAGGAACGTCCCGTCAGCCCCGTTATGGGCGGTAACGTTCACAATGCCGCCGCCACCGCGGCACAAATTCCTTTGAGCCCGTTGCAGAGTAATGACAGCCCGAACACGAATCAGGTGCAGCAAAATATCGCTCCGCCGAGTCAGCCGCAAGGTTCTCCCTTCAGGAGCCAGGCGCCGCAGAATATCTCCTCTGTGCATCAGGCCGTGACGCCATCCATGGCGGCTCCGATGAACACCGCGCGCCCGCCTTACAATCCACAAATAGCTGCGCCACCAAATTATCATCCAGCAGGCTTGGGTCCAAGGACAACGCATACCAGATGGATGCGGCCGTTCATAGCTCCTGGAGCAACCGCGCCCGCAAATACGCAGAACAGCAGCGCGCTGATAGCGCAACTGACGCAACCACCCTCGTTAGGACTCAATGTAGCTACGTTCGGCCAAAGATTAGATGGTAAAATTATCTGCATTTATCATATTTTACTTCTATTCTACAGAAATAATTAGAAATGACCGAGATAAAAACTATCTTTATATAAAGAATACCTAGGTATTCTTTGGCTGCGTTCGCTTTGGGCGCTTATACGCTGTAAGCGTCATATTATCTTCTTCCTGCATATAATGAGCGATATAGAATGACGCTTGCAGCGCGTAAGCGCTCAAAGCGCAGCCTTTATGTTTGTAGGATAAGAAAAAGAATATTTTTATGTTAGTGTTTGTAAGAGTAATTGAAAGAAAGATCTCCGCGATTCGCTAAGAAGTCGTACAACTATTTACTTCAGTTGCTGGAAATAACGTTATGGCACCTGGACCACAACAGCAGCAGCAACTTACACAGCAACAGCAACAAATGCGATTGACGATGCAATTGCAACAACAAAACGCGCAACAAGCTACCATGTCTATGAATGCCCAGCCGACCCACAGTCAGCCAGGATCACAGCTTACTGTATCTTGTATGAGTCAGTCGGTGCCCACTCAAGTGCCACAAACTGTCACAGCTTCGCAAGCACCAATCGCAGTGTCCTCTGTTACGCAACAGATTGCACCTCCTCAGGCACAGGTAATTAAATAAAATTACATTTATATATTGCAGCTTATATATATTTTTTTTTATATTTATATATTAGGTACAACTAATTCTAATAATAACTAATAATAATAACTTAATTCTCGGCCTCTACATTCAATCGACTACAGCCATGGACATAGTATACATGGACTTCGAATGCCCTATGTTCGGTCTTCTAATAGAAAGCCAACATCTAGAAAGAGAGCGAGAATAGAGGGGCTATAGTTTTCTTCCTATTTTGTTACTTTTTTGTTGCGCGTGCATTCATTTCTCGTTTCCATAATATTATAGCAACAACATCTTGATTAGACTGGCAAGTAAAAGTTTTATTTAAATCTTATTGCACACCTCATCTGTGCAGAAAGAGATAGAGAACAGAAGGGCTGTATATATTGGCTTCTCTTTTCTGACTGTATGCAGAGTCTATGTATATTATGTTTATGGTCTCTTTCTACATGTTGACTTCACTTTTCTGGCCGTATGCGGGGTCCATGTATACTATGTCTATGACTACAGTACTTATTTAAATTTGATTCTTTTTCCCGCCATATAGTCATTTTGAAGCGATATCGGGTGCATTCCACTTAATGCTCGTAACGACGCGAGTGTCGTTTTATCTTTGTTTAACATCTAATGAGCAAAGATAGAATGACGCTCGCGTCGCTACGAGCGTTAAGACCCTTGCAGAATGTCAGGCAATAGGAACAGGGAATAGGAATTCTGATTGGTCAATTATTTCTATTCCCTGTTTCTATTGGCCTGTACCTGTTGCCTGCCATTGCGTAATGGTTCTTAAGTGGAACGCGCTCATCCTTCAAAATAAGGGTCGAGTTTTTTAATTCATCGATGCAGCGTTTCGCTGTTTTACGCATCATGCGATGGATTCATCGATGAATTAAAAAAACGCCCGAGGTATAGTATTTGCCGGTGCTGCAAATCTAACCTCAAAAAATAGTAATGAAAACTATGTCGTTCGAAAAGCAGCATTTGAGGCACTGCCTCCTATTCGCGTTCCAGCTGAAAAAAAATGTCGCGGAAGCTCAAGAAATGATTTGCTCGGCTTTAGGTGAAAACTCTGTGTCGTACAGTACATGTAAAAAGTGGTTCAAAAGATTTCATGATGGCAATTTCAATTTGGAGGATGAAGAACGCCTTAATCAACCAAAGAAAGTGAAGACTGAAGAATTGGAACAGCGTTTGAACGAAAATCCTTGTCAAACGCAATCAAAACTTGCGATTTATAATTTGAATTATACTATATGTGATTATTATAATTCAATTATAAATCGAAACTTGGTAAAAAAGGCTGAGAATTAAGTTGTAGATCCAATATTTGTTGTATATTGTGTAATTTTCCTATATGTTTTAATATTCCAGGGTAATGTGCAAGGTACTGTACAAGGCACTGTACAAGGCCAACAACTCGTGCAACGTGAGCGTCAGAATATCTGGCAAGGTATTTTGGAGTGGATTGAGAAGGCCAAGAATCCCACAGATACGCAGAAACAGACAAGACACGTGCCATGTCAAGTGTCGGCTAATTCGAAAGACGGAGACCCAGAATTGTGAGTTATCTTAATTATCCTATTAAAATAGTATTTATATTATTATACTCGACATTGTCCCAATGTATTTATCTTCGTTTTGCATAACTTTTATCCTTCAGGAAAGCGGATACATGGCCGCCAAAATTGATAATGCAATTGATGCCGAAACAATTGATAGGAAATATCGGCAGTTCCTATCTAAAAAATTCCAAATCTGTTATTTTCCATCCTACGCCATGTGAAGCGCTGGAATCCTTGACGAAAATGATGAGCGCCGGATTTGTAAATATATACTAATTGTAGATATGTATATTAATGTGTTACATATATAGTAATACCTAAACTGTGAAATTACTTCTCAGGCCGGTTGCGTTCACTTCACCTCAGTCCCGCCGAGCCCAGCTTGTGAAATCAAAGTGCTTATACTCTTATATACTGCAGAGAAAAAATCATACCTGGGTTTTATTCCGAACGATCAAACAGCTTTTGTAGACAGTCTGCGTAAAGTGATACAACAGCAGAAGACGTCTCATGCCTCTATGAGACAGGGACAAGTAAGCACGATGAAAAAATGCGAGTTATTTGTACATATTAATCAATGAGAAAAGAAAAGTGGAATATATTTATTTTTCAGGGCAATCCTGGCCCGGGGAATACGATTCCGGCGCCCATGCCTACTACAGGCACGCAGGGCGGTATTCTTATGTCCCAAACGAACACCATGGCGATGGGTGGTGGTCAAATAACGCAAAACGTTATATCTAGCAATGCTTCCCCGCAAACTTTAAATTCGACTGTCCCGCAAACTCAAATGAATATGCAGGTAACTCTAGTAATATGAATTTTTAAGGAGTAAAGTAATTCATCGCGAATATCGCATCTGACATCACGTTACATTTGTAGAATACCGGCATTAGTGGACCTCAAGCGAACGCCGGTGCCGGAGGCATGATCACTCAGCAGAGACCTCCGTTTGATGATTTGGAACTTGCCAGACATCAAAATTTATTAAAGATCCAACAGTTGAGGCAAACATTGGAGGCTGCGCAGCAGCAAGAGGCGCAATATAAATCGCAATTAGAAGTAAACGTAAGTTACATACAGTTTTATATTATAAATAAAAAATAGTTATCAACTATAATCTCACGTGTTTATAATTATTATTGTACAGATTCAACAGAATTTGGAGGTTGCGCAGCAACAAGAAATGCAGTATAAACAGCAGCTTGAGGTGAGTAATTTTCAATCGCGGATAAATATTTTGACGTAGTATATGGCGCGTAACTGTATTGCTCGAAACAGAGAATTATTTATTTAAATGTTTCTATGTTTCGTATATTTCATAACATATACCTGCTCTTAAAATTTCCTTTAATATGTTGTTTATTTTTCAATTAATTATGTAAGGATACTATTTTCGGTTTTGAATCATTATTATTTTGCACATTTATAGAATCGATAGAAAATACAATATTTAAAAGTATTAAAAAGAAATTTTTAAAAATACTGTTATATATGTGTATAACTCGTATGAGATAAATTTTTTTTACTTAGAAAGAGGTTTTATTCACAATCATAATAATCTGCGTTGTCTTAAATAGGTTTCATCTTATTTTATTTTAAAAAATATAGTTCTAGTAGTTGCGAATAGAGTAATTATTTTTAAAGGCGCAACAGGCACAAAGAGGCCTCAATCCAGCTGCCATGGCCAACCAACAAGCAAACACTCAAAGGATGATGCGTCCTGTCACTACCAATAATCTCGGTCTTAGACACTTGTTACAACAGGCAAGAAATTAAAAAGTTTTCTCGAGAAAACTTAAATTTTATCTGTATTATTCTTCATGTGCTTGCAAAAAAATTGTAAAAAGAGTAAAAATTGTAAAAATCTGACACATATTGCAATTGATGCTTTTTTGTTGCAGCCACAATCTCAGTACAGACAACAGGTGTTTGGAGTGCAGCAACAAATGGTTGGACCAAGAGGTCAGATAACAGCCAGACCAATGGCACCGGGTAATGCACAAAATCAGCAGTTCGAGGACGTACCGAATTATGACTTTTTGAATTAAGCTTTGTTAACAAGTGATTTGTTAATGTTTAATAATCAGTAATGTAAGAATCAAATGTCGAGTCAATCTCAACTCATAGTGCAATTGTTATTTTATATCAGAATAATATAGAGAATGACAGTTTTCTACTTTATCTTTCAAAAAAACACATGCAAGTGTCACTCTTCGATTTTACTAAATTTTAGATATCGAAAAATGTGAAAGACACCACTACATACTCGTTACAGGAGTTTTTCCTGTAATAAGATATTGTAGTTTAGGATAAAAAGGAGACGCGTATCTTTTTAAAGATGCTCTTAAACGTATTGAAGAGGTGAAACATCCTCTTGAAAAAATCGATATTTATTTTTTAGCGAATATTGATGAAAAACGCGAAAACGATGAAAAACGACACTTGCGTGTTTTTTTAAAACAAATTTTCATATTAAATTTTTAGTTTAATTTATTGATGAATGTTTAAGTTATTTGTTATTTATACAAAGAATTTGTACAATAATCGGAGATAAATTTTTTTTCAAGAATTTCCTTTTATAAACCATGACTATGATTTAATATTACCCAAGGTGCACCACGTTGAAGTTACGCGATCGAAATTCCGCGTATTTGTATGCATGCGTACAGGTGTGTGAGGGCTGTTGCAATCAAATATATAAAAGCCATGTTTCTATGGAAACTCTTGTTATATATTTCATGCCATGTATTACACGACAAGTTGTAGATAACGTATCTCCGCTTCTGTAAACGTATTTCTCGTCAAGCTTTGTTTGTACAAAGTTTTTTGCGGCGTTTTAAGGTTTTACATGGAAAGTAAGAGTGAAAAACTCAAGACAAGAAAGAGACATGCAGCAGAATAAATCAGAAAACCGAGAAACAGAAGGAGCGACGCGAAAAAACGATAAAAGAATACACGAACAGATTTACGATTCGAACGAATACATTTCTGCCGCAAAACGTGTACAGGATGGAACAGTGCCTATGGATATTTTAAAGTTTCAGTATCCTTTTGATTTTACATAGATGTATATATGTATATAAATACATACACGTGCATATAATTCCTTACATAATATATGTAAGTCATTCATTTTCATACAACTGTGAGAAGTATTTTAATCTTTGCGTGGTAGAACCGAATGTTATTTTATTCGCTTCTGGTAATATACTGCATTTTTTAAATACTGCAACGAATAAACTGTGGTTTAGAAGAGGATCTACTGGTGGCGGGATTGGACATGTGACGGTATCTTTCTTTTGTATTTATTAAAATCATCGACACATACCTGAATTATAATTATTATCTCAATTATTTTGGATAGAAAAATCCCACATTTGATCATATTGCTGTTGCGGAAAATGGCGTGAAACCTCCAATAATAATATACAAATGGCCTTCAATGAATATTGTAACGATATTATACGATGGCACGTTAAAGCGTTATTCTTACTTAGTGTACAGGTATCTCATAAAGATTAACATGCAAAAATACGCACACCAATTATTCTATAGCTCTGTATATTTTACAGCGCGGATGGTTTGTTACTAGTATCGCAAGGAGGAGATCCAGATTATACGATTACGCTTTGGGATTGGCAGAGATCTCAAATAATATTAAAATGCAAATCTTTTAATCGAGATGTTTATAACGTCACAATGTCCCCGGTGTTACCTAAATATTTGGTAACCAGTGGATCAGGACATATAAAATTTTGGAAAATCTCCAACACGTTCACCGGACTTAAATTAAAAGGCGAAACTGGCAGATTTGGTCAGACAGAGATATCTGACATTATTGGCGTATATATCATGCCAGATGGAAAAGTGAATATTATTCAAATGCATCCAAGTTATTTAATATTAAATATTTTTGTATTTAAAATTGTTTAATATTGTAAGTAACAATCGTATGATAAAAATCAGGAGTCGTCTCGAATTATTATAATCTCATACTCTCGAGGCAAGTACATGAATGTCCTGATCGTTTAATCGTAATCACTTTTAGGTTGTATCAGGCTGCGAATGGGGAAATATTTTACTCTGGGAAGAAGGCTTAATCAGCCTTGAAATATGTAGAAAACATAGGCAACCTTGTCACGCTAAAGCGATTACACAATTTGAGTATTTAAACGGAGAGCTCATATCAATTGGTAAAAATATTATATTCTTTGTATTGATATAAAAATTGAATCAATACATGTGTGAATTTTCATCGTATGTAATGCATTATAGTCTCGATATTTAGTTAAAATTTTTTTTACCAAATTACTAAAAAATCTTACCTTAAAGAACCTTAAAAATAAGCTATTCTGTATATTAACTTAAAAGAGAAGAATATAGACCCTACATAAACTTTTTTTGTATTATGAATGGATCATAGGTATGGATGGGTGGATTCGGGTGTGGTTCTACGAGACAATAGACCAAGCGGATGTTCACAGTGAAGATCGTTTTTTAGAGATTCAACCCGTCTATGAATTTCAAATTAGTGAGACACTCAATTCGATGCTTATGTGCATGCGTAAGCAAGAACCAGACAATCCGGAAAGTACATTCTGGTATGCTCAAGTGAGTAATGCATTTTTATAATATTAATATTACATTTATTTTTATTATATTTTTTTATATTTCACACATATTATATTAATATAATATTTATATTTATTGAAATTTATTTAAATTTGGGTCGATATTTATTTTAATATCACTTTGTATGTGATAAGAAAAATATACATATGTATACTCATAGATATTTGTAAGAGAGAGAGGGGAAGAGAAATCAGCCAAACGATATAATGCTAATAATAACTATAAACTATAATTAAAAAACTCCAAAGAATCCCTAAAGCTTTATTAACATTATAATAGGCAATATAACATTTCCAACTGTTAATGTTTGACGTTTGTAGGATGGAAATGGCGGGATATGGCTAATTGATTTGCATACATTAAAAGCGGAAAAGCCGCGAAAGATATTCACGTGTCACGCAGGAGCTATAGTCGATATGGATAATGCAACGTGGGGACCTTTTGTGGCAACAATTAGCAAAGTTGGACAACTGCATATTTATAATTATATGGAGAAGAAGTTAATTTTGGACCATAAGTTTAACGACATCGGTAGCCAAATCGTTTGGTTTCCGTGCCAAGTAAATCAGTGTGTTAAGAATTTACTTGTTTGTTTTCAATGCGAGATATAGCTTGCATAATACGACAAATTGTAACGCGTGTACACAATTAACGTGAGACGGAAAAGTCATACCAGATGGTCTTCTTTCGATTCTCCATTGTTCAGTGCTACGTTTTTATCAAAATTCTGTAGAACTCTATTTCCTATGTACTTGTGTACTTGCGTTACTGCATACTTGTATTTTTTTTAGTATCAGTATTATTAATGTGTAAAATATTCTCACACATGTAAGGTTGAAGCGACAGGATCGATGCTTGCTTGTGCCTTTGGAAGCGGTATCATTCGCTTGATCGCCGTAACAATATCTGCGACCGACAGAAAGGACAATTACATCAAGTTGATTCAGATAATAAGACCACACAGAATGGCAATAACCTCGATGTCTCTGAACTCATCATGCAAGTAGGCAGAATATAGTAATAAACTCAGCGAAAGTCTAGTTAATTTGAATCGCTCATTTTTTTATCATTAATTTATTTCCCCATAACTATACAGTCATAAATTTCTACATAAGAATATTTCAGCTTACTAGTGACTGGTAGCGAAGACTCGACCGTGTTTAGTTTCAATGTCGCAGTAACCGGCACTCCTGCCGTCATCACACCAATTGGCTTTGTCGAAGTACCTTCAGGAGTCACGTGTCTCACGTGGAAGCCGCATTGTGTAGATGAACAATGTCACAATCGCGTCCCAGACAGCACAATGTCCAAAATCGGGTTATAAGACGTCTTTAAAACATCTTTAAGACATCTTTAAGACGAGTTTATAAAGTATTATCTTAAAAATGTCTTAAAGACGTCCTAAAGACGTCTTATGACTCGATTTTGGACATTTGTGTTGTCTGGGATTTTGCATGGCGAATGTATTTACCGTCGCTCTGTATTTAATACGAACTCTCACAGGATACGACATTGTTAATTGGATGCGTAGGAGGAGATTGTGTAGAGATTGTATTACCAAGTACACCTCAACCTTATACCACCGTCTCGTACAAACTTGTTCAATGTCTACCAAAAACATTTCAATTCCATTCCGTAAAATCTGCTATTCGAAGGGATCTAATACGTTTGAAACGGGAGGAGGAAAGAGAGGAGAGAATAACGAGGAGACGCGAAGAGGTAACTCGATTAATGACTGGAAGCCCCGAAATGGAAGTCAGTGAGGAAGAATTCCTCGGTAATTATGTCACTTTGCTAATTAGCAAGGTTGGGTAACAATTAAGTTGATCAGTTAAGTTAAAACGTTAAAAAATTAACTTTCAACTCGATTTAGTTAATTTTAAATAAATCAACTTTTACTTAATTTAAACTAGTTATTTTTAAAATACGTTAACTTATTAACTTTTTTATATGAGTTAAAATAATTGATCAGTGCTTAAATCATTGCGAACTGTTCATAATGTAGAATAAAGAAAATAATGACAGAAAGATTATTTGTTCCTCTGAGCGCTAGTGTTCTTTTCTTATATGTAATTCTGAGTACAAAACAATTGATTTTTTTTTTTCTTAAAGGACTATCTTTTCATTAATAATTCACAAACTTAATATTCGATTAAAAAGTTAATTATTTAACATATATTTCCTTGTATAATTAACTTTTAATTTTAATAAGCTAATTTAATGTTAGTTTAATTTTTAATTGAACTAGTTTTTATTTATGTAACTTTTAATGTAAGCTAAGTTAATTTGAAGGCTATTATAACTTTAAATTTAACTTAGTTAAAAAAATAAATTTACTTAACCCTGCTAATTAGTATTTAAATGTAATTTAATGTAATGTAATGTAGTATTTTTTAATGTAATACATTACAATGTCAAATGGTTTCCTTCTCCATCTAAATGGTTTTTCAAATATATCATTATATGCCGTAATGATTGAAATATGTTGAAACAAAGATAATTAAGAGAGCGACGATAAAAGACTAAGATAATTTTTAATATTTTTTGTACTTGTACTAATTGTTATACTGAAGTATAATGTATATTTTATAAGTACCATTATACCAAAAATATTATTGTACTGAATTATATAATAATTATAGTCGACATAATCGAGGAAGAACCGTTGCCGGAAATATATATACCAAAAATACCGAGCAGAATATTGATGGTGCAATATATCAAGCACGATATCATTTGGTTGTCAATGGCTGGGTTCGACGCGGGATATATCTACGAGTACCCAAGTCCGGAAACTGTTGAAGTTATCAGCAAGGAACCCATTAGAAGTACCGTAATATACGACGCAGACGACACGGAGATACGAAGTTGTTTGTTCTAGTAAGATGCGATAAAAATCATTGTCGCAATTTTCTTTTTGCACAAGTGGTTAACTTTGAGCGTCAACTATTATGTACATTAGCAAGCGGAGGAAATATTTGTTTTTGGGAATGGAGCAGGGACAAATACGCGTCTGCAAGTACAAGTCTGAGAATTATACGGACCTCTCCGATTACTGGATTCTTCCGATGCACGATAATTACAACGGCTACATCCCAAAAATGATTCTCAGCCACGACCAGACGATGTTGTTCACATGTGGATATGATGGAAATTTATTTTCTTACGAGATAAACGACGACACGCCATCTGAAGCGACCGAATTCGAGATAACGGCAGAGACTTCACCTTTGGTGCGTCTGCATTGATATTTATATGTGTGTGTGTATCGTTATATTTTAAAGCGTTATTAATTCAAGTTTACTGCGACACGTACTATAAATTTTTTTCATGAATACGATCCAATGAGGAATATTTCTGTGTGTGATACAGTCGTATGTACCTAGCATCGAAGATCTCGAGGAAATCGATGCGCACGCGAGTCTGGAAGAGACGATTCAAAAAGCTGAACAGGACAGGATCGCGCGCGAAGCGAACCAATGTAAACGTCAGATATACGAAATACTGTTTAAACTGAGCGAGGAATACAGCAAAATCGTGGAGAGGTTTGAATCGTGCCGAATGTAATCGATTGATTCAATGAGAAAGGAGCGATTGTGCTTATTCGCGTTTTTTTTCGCATGTCAGGAATAATGCTCTACCGAAGCCTCATCGAATAACTCGCGAGGAAATGGAATTGGATCCCAGAATCACTGCTGATTTAAATGAGGAGTTGGAAGCGCAAATGGCCACGGTGCGAGAAAAATTCGCATTTAAAGTCGAAAAAAGCGAGATCGGATTGCAGAAGCTCCTGGAACACTTTATTCATCCTATCACAGACTTGCCGTTCGTAGTCTGCAAAGTCTTGTGAGTAAAAGTTGCTCACGTTCTCTTCGCGTTAGAAAATGTAATCGAGCGATATGCAGATACGATTCGACCGCATTATTTGTTTGAATCTCTTGTCTAAACTCTAATTTGTATCATTATAGACAACCGGATAACGTAGTCCATTCTCTGCGTCAACGCGTCTTGGATGTCAGTACCTTGCCTCGTGTGGACACAGTAAAACATATACACGTGTTCGATAAACAGACAAATAGAGCCAGGTAATTTGTGCTACGTGCTTGAACAAGGTACTATTATTAATAGAAAAATTAAGTACTATTAATTACCCAGCAAACACAACGTTACATGTAACATACATGTTGGTTGTAATTTCCTACTCAACACTATAACTGTTATATAACACGTATGTTATATAACAGTTACATTGTTGAGTAGAAAATTATCATTTATTGTATTAATTATCATTGATAGAAAATAAAGAATAATTTAGCATTCGCAAATGATGTTTCTAACTTTTGTGCAAGTAGCGTAGCAAACGGTGTAATGCAGCCTTACGAGGAAGAGCAACGACAAGAAGAAGAAGAGGAAATTAAAGAAGAAACCGAGACGGAAAAGATACAAGAGCAAGCAATTGCGGATATCTTGAAGGGCGTGGATTACGAAAATTTAGACAGCAGCCAGGGAATTCGATTGAATCAAATGCTACGCAAATATATCTCGAGGAAAGCGAGGCTGGAGGAACGCGAGAAGCAAGTGTGTTGCAAAATAAATATTTAAATATTACAACCGTTAATTCTTTCGACACATTCGAGAAGACGATACGCATTGTTGATACTTTGATTCATTTGTAATACAATCTCCAAGTTCTCAAGAACTTGCATTTTTTAAGATTTTTATGGAACACTTACACACACATACACACATCCCGGATGAAAATATTTTATTGAAAATCTCTTTCAATTGACCCTTTTTCATTAAAATTCATTAAGATTCTTCAAAATTAATTAAAATTCATTAAAATTCGTTAAATTTATTTTATTACATAACAATAAAATTAATTTTAGGAATTTTAATAAATCTTAATAAATTTTACGAATTTTAATGAATCTTAATGAATTTTTCTGAATTTCAATGAATTTTAATTAATCTTAAAGTATCTTAATGAATTTTAATGAAAAGGGGTTAATTGAGAGATTTTCTGTAATTATTTCAATAAAATATTTCCACCAGGGATTTGAACAGAAATATATCTTTATAAGTACGCTCAATAATCAGCCAGATAAGTGTCGTATAATACATTTTCAATTTTATGAAATTTAATAAGACTTGTTTTGTTTTTTCAGTGGAAAGTTATACATCAAGAGAAACCGGATGCGTCCGTCAATCACTTACGCGATATAGTCGCCATAGAGGAAGCGAAAAGAACTATCGGCGATTATAAGTTAAAAACATCGCTGACCTTCGATTCGCTGTCGAGGAAACGAGATGCTCTCTTTTTAAAGCACAATGAATTGTTTAACTGTTGGAAAAAAGTTCGTATAATATCATCGAATCTTATGAAAAAGGAGAGAACAACGGCTCCTTTATTAATGGCTATTTCTTTATTAATATTATTCCTTCGTTAAGGCTTTTGGCCTCTCGTATTGTCTATCTTTTTTTAATGATGTCAGAAGTGAGAAAATGCATGCTAAAAATTCATGCAAAATATGTTAAAATAAAAATATACTAAAATATAATATAATAAAATATAATATAAAAATAATAAAAATATAATGTATATCCATAAAGTAACACTTGCCAGGAGAGACCAGGAGCCTTAATTACAATTTTTATTATTAGCTGTATTATCTGCAAGAAGCTTTCAACGAGAGATTGAAAGCTGTGAGAACAGAGAAAGAATATTTACATGCGCAAGTTATGTCCTTAATAAAAACCCTCAGAGAAATTCACGCAGAGATACCATCGAGAAGTATAAAGCCCTTGCCACTTATTCCTACGTTAAATATCGATATAGAATTTCCTGAGAAGAAAGTGATAGTACGTATTAATAATGCGTTAAATTCGAATCGTAACGCATTAAAGACACGCTATCACTTTTGTATTATTCGTAGTATTATTTGTATTGTTCGTAGCTCGAAAAGTATACAATGAAGGAGGAGAAGATACAACGACCGAGACTCTCGCTTCTCCCGGAAGCGATATTTGTTTGCCCGGACGAGGAATACGAAGTGTTGCTCCTGGATGAAGAATTTCCGGAAACTGCGCGCATTTTCAGCGGAGCGTCAGCGCTACCCTCCGTCTCTGAGAGAAAAATCAAAATTGACTCCACCTTGCGGGATGACACATCGTTGCTTCATTTGAGCGATGACTCTGACAGCCCATGGGAACGAGAAATGAAATCCGCCCGCGTCTTACGCAGGATATACGAACAAGACTGCATATTGCGATACGTGCAAACCAGTTGCGAGAATTTAGATAAGAAGTTGGACAAATTGGAGCGCGATAGATTGGATATTGTTGCCGAGAACGTCAATATTAATCTGTTCTTACTGACGCTTCGTCAAGAATACATCATTCTGAGAGAATACGAAACGATGGAAAATACGTTACACGACAAAGTTAATCGCAAAGTAGAAGAGGCCGCAGCGATAAAGCAAAAAGTTAGTTAACGAAACCGCTAGTCTTACATAGTCGACGTCATCACATCGCATCGATAAGCGCCAATAACGGAGAACGCGTGTTACACGACAATCGATACTTTCAGATACGCGAGATCACCGACAATGTTGACAGTAAAATGAAGGAAATTGCAAAACTACGTAACCAAATCAGGGATATTACTTCGGAATATATGAGAAGTGTAAGCGAAAATAAATTCCGTAATTTTCTATGCAGAATATTCAAGAAGAAATACAAAGTGTCGAAGGAGGAGGATGGTAAGAGCATTTTTAGTGACGTTTCGAATTACGACTCGGAGAAAAAATTGGAATAAATGACCGAGTCGTTTCAATACTTTACAGTGCAAGATTGTAATTTCCAGTTTGTGCATTTGCGTTGTATAGTCGAGAAATATATTAGTGATCGTATATTGTTGCTTATTAGAAACTACTACGACAACGACTGAAACGACTTCGGATGAAACGAACAGTGTCGACAGTAAAGAAACAGAATCGATTTACCTCGACGAAAACGTATGCCCTCCGGACTGTGATAGGGAATTATACAACTTGGCATTTTCCATGAGAGAAAAGCGATACGCATGCGAGCACGAGGTCAAAAGCGCGCAACATACCGTAGAAACCCTTCAGAAGGAAGCTGAAATTCAGACGAAAAAGTTGAAAATTATAGAGAGCAACTTGAGAGCGCACGAGGATGATTTAAAAATATTTATGGTATCGCCCCTGATGGAAATATTTTATTGAAATATATTTATTGAAAATCTCTCTCAAGTGATCCCTTTTCATTAAAATTTATTAAGATTCTTTAAGATTAATTAAAATTTATTAAAATTCAGAAAAATTCATTAAGATTTATTAAAATTCGTAAAATTCATTAAGATTTATTAAAATTCATAAAATTAATTTTATTGTTATATAACAATAAAATAAATTTTACGAATTTTAATAAATTACGAGTTTTAACTAATCTTGAAGAATCTTAATGAATTTTATGAATATAATGAATTTTAATGAAAAGCTTCTCCTTTTCATTAAAATTCATTAAAATTCTTCAAGATTACAAGAGATATTTTCAGTAAAATATTTCCATCAGGGGCGCGTAACGAATGCTAATTGCAATGATCATGAGAGTAATTTGTCACTCGTCTAATCGCGGTTTTTTCGGCAGTTCGAGAAACAAGGAAAATTGAACGACGTAGACGTCACAGTGACAATGAAAATGCATCAGTTGCAGTATCTCCAAGAGTGTGATATGCCGACGAAGGTGGACGATTGTGTTGTATTCGACAAAAAAAAACTGTCGAAATTGTACGCAAGAATACAGGAGTTGCACGAGGAGACGCTCGAGTTACACGCCAAATACAAGTACGCGTACATATTTGTATATCGTATACACGAAGAATTCATAAATAACAGATATCGAAGGTTCTTGATAATGGAAAGCACACTTGACGATTTCAGGCGCTCGCGAGCGCATCTTCACAGAATAAAAATCGATTGTAATCATATGAGGGTTAATAATAAAAGCTTGAAGAATGAAATGAAACAGAGGATAATGGATAAGTTCGGCCAGAATATATCTCTGACTGAATTGTATGAAACGATACTACGTCGTATGGTGTATGATATCAGAGCAAATTTGAGCGAGATAACAATGCAGTTTAGCAAAAGGACCAACGGTAAACTAATCGTATTGATCATCGTTTGTTCTTTGACTCATATTGTATTTTGCTGTTTTACCGCAGAGGTCAAAGAATGCTATACTGAAGAATTAATTACGCTTAACAACATGATCCGAGAGCACACGCAGAAGCTGAGCTTCCTAACACTTTTGGTGGAAGAACAATCGAAACTCAAGAAGCTTCTGAGACGGCACATCAAGTCGGATGTAAGTTGCGCTTATAATATCCGTCAAGCATTTATTCTTCCCGGAAGTTATCTTCTAATGGAGTATAAGTGTCGACAGTTCTTGCAAAGAATTATATATCAATACTGTGTTCGCAGGAGGAAATGTTGCTGTTGGAGAAGACATGTAAGAACGACGTGACAAAGTTGGAGAGAATTCTCAGAAATCAAATGCGACAGAAACATCTATTTGAGAATGACATCAAGAATCTCAAGTTGAAAACGAAATCGCAACATCCAATCCGGTTTAGGAGTATAATGTCTTGGAACGATAAAGGTAATAAGAAAATAAGAAAAATCTTAACTTTCAATAAAGAAAAATCGCTTTGTGCGAGTGATTATTACCAATACGTGCCGGTGACTTTAAGGAAACTCGGTATCTATTTATTTTATCAATCTCTTTTCATTATTAACTGTGATTTTCGATAGTTATTTAATCATATCGGATTATAACAATGTACTTTTCTATATCTATACACACACATGTTCTACATGCTATAATATTCTATATGTGTTATGCTATCAAATATCAAATAATACTTTCCTTGATTAATAGTAATAATAAAAATTTTATGGCGTAGACTTCGAGCCCGAGAGTGAAGAGAATTTCGATGAGAATTGGCAAAACGAAGAAGCAGAAGAATGTATAAAAAGCGACGAGAAGCCGGAGCTCTCTATGGATGTTGAATATACAGTTGATTAAATCGAGAAATTTGAGCGTTAAAATGAATCGATACATGGTAAATTTTTTTACAAATGCTGATATCAGGGAAAACAAAAATTTTTAATTGCCAAACGATAAGATCAAGTAAGATATAACTATTAATAATTATTGTCAAATTATATATACATAAACGCATTCATATATATTGACATTGTGAACGAAAAGAATTTTTAAATTTAAAGCTATATATATATATATATATATATATATATATATATATATATAAATAAAATGCATAATATATACTATGCTTATCATTCCAAAAAATAAACCAGATTCGATAGAACATTTAGGCAGCAAATAGCATGCAACAAAAGTCTACAATTGACTGCAAAATAAATTGCATGAAACATTCATTTATCAGTTAACAACATTGTTGTCTTTTGTTCGTTGTATTTTATTTATGGCTCATGTATAACGACTATATGACAGCTGTACAAATACATAACTTTCATTTGCTATTTATATATAGGAGGATCTAATAATAAATATATATATATATATATATATATATATATATATATGTATATATATATAACAACATATATACGCTCTTATACATAATACAAAGATATCGCAATAAGTCTATATTTCTCGTGTACGAATTATTCCTTAATTTCTTTGTTAACTTATGTGCAAAATATTTCAAAGAACCTATACATTATCTTGTATTATGACTAAGCAAAAAAAAGGAAATAAAGTAAAAGGTCTGTGCTTTGTCGGTGAACGTTTTTAAAACAGTTAACTTATAGAGGTGATACTTTGCGTCAACATTCACACTATAAACTCTTCAAATGCGAGTAACAAGAGCTGTCGGAATGTTAAAATACATTAAAATGCTGCCTGCACGTCAAGTTTCAATTCATGGACTAGAGATGGATGATGGTCGTGATGACAAATTAAGAGGCGTTTTTATAAGGATGAATGTACTCGCATCTCGATGTAGCATACCTCGCGACAATTCTAACGGCAAGAGACGTGAAAAAATATCGATGTACCGCGACGAAATTGTGCTACGTAACGATCTCTGTTTATGTTACGACAGTAAACTTGATCCTTATATGACATTGTATTTTATACGACACTCTAATTCGGCACATTAGATCATTACAAAAAGAAAGAAAAAAGAAAAGTCAATTATGTCACAGATGTATGTATATGTTATGTTATACATATACATAATAATGTATATATATACATATATGTACATATATATATACATACACTGTTTGAGTCAGCTTCTTCTTCTTTGATATTGGCTCAAGACTTGAGTCCCAAAGTCAATTATAGACAATAAGGTGAATCAATTAGCGAAATTATAAGTGACATTCTATGTATGATCATATTCTATGTATTCATAGAACGTAACATCTTTTGAAGAATCCTATATCGAGATCTGAGTGAGACCAAAAGCAATAATCATCGCAATAATGATAAAAATAGTAATTATATAACAGCACAGTATTAGTATTAGTATTATTAATTTAAGTAGTAGCAGTAGTGAGATATCAATGATAGTATTAACAGTATAGCTGCGGCGGTAGTAGTAATAGTAATAATAGCGATAGTAGTAGCGGTGATAGCAGCCAATAATAGCAGTAATGACAACACGTGTTCTTTGCTGTGTCTGCAATTAATATTTTCAACATTAAGAGAGCCCACACGTTGTCGTCATGTAATGATCTTCGAAGTGTATACATATTTTTGTTAAAGTTACTGCACGCGCGTTGAAACGTTTGGTAAACAAAATCGACCAGTCTCAACGAGTGACATCTGATTTTCCGCGAGAATTAGAAAAGAAGCGAGGAGGAGAGAAGAGAGACCGGGAGAAAGCGGATGTAGATTAGCTTTGAAATCTCAGTGTGCGCTTAATCAACGATTGTATCGAAAAATGCGGACTTAGAATTAACAAATAACTTTCTCTACGTTTTGCATTGGGCAGTACAGTTCTCTAGCGAGGGGAACGAACGGGAAGTACCTCGTGCAATCTCGTGAATAAGCGTGCGAGACGCCACGTGTTTGTGAGGAATGAGCGGCGAAAAAGGACTCAGAGTAACTACCGGTCAATCGAATATCTGTAAACAAGATCTATCAAAATGAGATGTGAATAAATTGACTGCATTGTCTCGCGAAGTAATCGGCGGACAAGCAACGATTGATATCGGACATGCAACGTATGGAAAATCAATGATTGTAAAGACTATTTGGAAACTGTTCATTTCAAGAATTAATTGGGGAGAAGCATTACCATTATAAACTCGGATACGCGAAGGCGAAGATTTATAAGTGAGACGATGAGAAATGTCACCTGCCAGCATGTGACATACTCGCCGGATCTATTAAGGACTCAGTTTCTTTGTTTACATTCAGCTGGCACAGGAAGATACCCATTAATCCGTATATCCTTCGTCGATTGTCTTAAACACATTTTTACGGGAAATTTGCTGAATGGAACGGCCGTTATGGAAGCGATAAGCTTTGCTTTTAATCGAATCATGCCCGCAAACGTCGGGTATATCAAATTACGAAACTAAAGCGTGTAATTACAAGATATGGAGATGCTTAGGATCGATATCCAAGGACACTGAGGGGAAGTAGACTTGTCGTCTGATATTTTCGCGCATCGTATATCTTTGTTCGCTGAGCAGAACGAACTGCAATTCGCCGTAGAGATTCGTGAAAATCCACAGAAAGAATTTGCTACGCCATCTCAATACATTTTCCGAGACCGAGAACTCTGAGAAAAATTACGAGGCTGCAAAATCGTTCAATTATTTACAAATCTGATTTGAATAAGTCGAATTAGTAAAGAACCGCGTAATTCGTAAGCTGTTAGGCCCATATACAAAATCTTGTCCTATTTCTCTTGAGAGAAAATGTGCAACCCGTCGTAATTTTATATCGATTGTACAAATTCTTTATAATTATAAATTCAACGCGTTACTTTATTCTATGCCGAACGTATTTGTCTCCTCCACAGCTAACAGCAGCTTCTCGTATAAAATCTCGGGCGTAGGATAAGGTGGAAGATCCAAGCGATTAAAACACGTGTGTGCCCTGAAACACACAATAACGAACAACTTTCTAAGAAAGAAGAGTGATAAATTTAAGCCAAAATTTTATATCTATTTTTCGAAGAGGAAATCGAAAACGCTAATCACAAACTGAGCTACTTGGTGTAATTATTTACATCTCAGTATTCTAAACAAAGAAATTATCCGCGAAAATAAAATGTATCATGGCAATAATAATTATTGAGTCGTCAGAACTAGTTTCTCATTGATTTTATAGATATGTGCAAATATATTAGGTTGATGGAAAACTTATTATTTTTTTTGTAAGAAAAATTCTTGTAAAAAGTATTAAAAATCCTCGTTAGATTATTAAGAAAATAGCGAGTCAATGTTGTTCATTTTATTCATGAAAATGCGTAATCCTTTGAAAGTAGATAATTTCGTTTCGTTTTATTCAACAAACACAACAAATCTTTCGCGCCAATCTAATAAGACACAACGTCAAAGGTTTTGAGTTAATGAAGAAGAAAAAAAACCCAGCACGCAAGTACCTTGGTAAACTGTTTGGCCTTCCCCACTTCTCGATGCAGAACTTCCTCGGTCCTGTGGAACCTCGCAGCGCGGCGAAGCCCTCGTACGGAATGCTCGAGGTACCGGTGACAAACTGCAGTAATCTCAAGCGTTGCTCGTTGGTGAACCGGCTTATGCTGCTCCAGAACCACTCCACTACCGGGTGCGCGTCGTGATATCCACTTCTGTATTCGGTATGCGTCCGCCAATCGTTCAGGTCGATCTCGGCCGCACCGGCTATCACCAACTCCAACTCACGAGCGTCGAAGACTGACACCAGGCGTGGATCCACCACTTCGTAGAAGCCACGAACCAACGACTCCGTCTGCTCGGCCACGCCGCGCTCGAGCCGCCAGCGTACCACCCTCTCGAGGTATTCCTTCTTATTCTTCTCGGTGACCGCGATATTTCTGCCACCTGGCTTCAACTCGCGCTCAGCGACTCGCCCCAGCAGCTCCTCCGTTACCGAGAAAGTCAATTCCAACGGCTCGATACTTATGTCCTTTTCTTTGATCCACATCAGACTCTGATGAAATTCCTGATCCAGACTCTCCAGGTCGCTCAGACTCGCCGGTATCCTCAGCAGCGCCTTGTAGAACGGTCTGGTGAAGAACGCGTCCAGCAAATATTGATGAACTAACGCCAAACCTAGAACCCTGCCCGAGAATCGGAACCAGTCGTGGTAATTATCCACGAAAGCCGACATCGGCGAGATTTGCACCGTGTAAGTATCATTGGCCGAATACTCGAACAATCCGTAGTAAGGATTGAACAGCTCGCGCGACAGATGGAAGAAAAATTCTCGGGACGGCCCGCCGTAATCCAGGCCTTCCTCGTGGTCGAAGATCACCACCAGTTTACCTTTCTGCAAATCTTTCTTCGACGCGGCCATTATACGCGTAAAAGCATCTTCAAGTAAATGCTCTCTTCTGATGTGCAATCTACGCATAAACATATAGACAAAAGTATAAGAGTCTTGCAACGAAATAACAATTGCAATGCATTTATGTGAACGTAAACGTTGGAATAAAGTACGGCTGGAACGTACTTCAATTTACCCGGTCCTTGGCCGTAGCCTTTGCTCTCCAATTTTCGATAGAACGTCCGTAGTTTAGCTTCGAAATCTCTCCTGTACGGCGCAGGGGCTCTGGCGGAAGCCCTCGTCAAGCCAGGCGACGCGTGCGGGCTACCGAGCGGAGATCTACCCATACTACCCGGTACGTACGACATTATTTCTTGCTCGAATAAACTGTGAACAATGACGCAACGGTAACGGAACGGCTTTATCGCGGTCAGCCAAGTATAATCTTATGGGAGAGCAAGTGGCCGTCTACAATATGCAGAATAAGCTTGCGGTAAGTTGGAGTAAGAAATAAATTATTTTATTTCGCTTTTATGCTATACTCTACCTTCTTTACATTGAAAATATTTCTCTCAAGAAATACTTTCGGTGTAAAGGAGTTAGAATATAGGAACGAAATAAATTATTTTTATTTCTTACGCCAACTTAGTTTGCTCTCCGCATATTGTAGACGGCCACCAAGGTCAACATATAGATTCACTATCGAGTACATCTCGCTGCTGCGTTTCCTACCTTAGTAATAACGCCAAGGGAACGTCGTGTCCCATTCTTTGCAACGCTGTGGTGCCTTCAACTCTTATGGTGTTAACCTTCTCTCGCAGCGCGATATTCTGCCCTAAAGCGGAATGTCTCTCCTTCAGGATATCCATGATATTAGGCTGACGTAGGAAAGCGACTACTTTGTCATTGTAGGCCACGGGTATGTCGGGCGTAGCGGTCACAGACGACTGCTGCGGTCTAGGCGGTGGTACGGGAGCTTCGTCCAGCAACGTCCGTACGTGAGCGGCTTCGGTAGGTAATCGTGGATCGATAAAAGACGTCGCCTTTCTAGCATGACATATAAAAAATCTCTGAAATTACAATTTCATTTGGTTACAACGAGATTACAGACGCTATCACGGTGTAGAGGGGATATTGCAGAGGAAGATTGAGGGTTTCTCAGCTCCTCGTGGAGTCGCGAGGAGCTGACGAGAAAGCTCACCTTGCCTGTTCTATCGAGCTTCGACTCGTATCCTCTCGGGAGCTCCTTGTTCGGATCGGCGAAGAAGTTAATCAAGGCAACCAGATCCCGATTGTGCTCGTACCTCGGGAAAATCAATGGATTCCTCCTGACTCTACTGATCATGTGCTTCAAGCTCGGATTACGATTGTACACCTCCATAGCGTCCGTGTTGGTGTGCAACACCGTGAAGAAGTCGGCCCGTGTCAAGAACAATACCGGCGGTATCGTAGTGATGTCAAACGGTTCGGACTCGCTCCTCTCGACACGCTCACTCGGCGTTCGCTCGGCATTCTCGAAGTGATTGCCGTTCGCGTTTGAGTTAGTCGCCTCACGATCTATATTGTCGGGACGCGAAATAGTACGCCGCACGCTCTGGTAGCGCCTGTCCAATTGCTGTCGCCGCAGATCGCAGCCAGTATTGCGCGTCGTCAAGCGCGTCGGCCTTTGCCACGTCGTGGTGCGATTGATGTGATCTATATAAAACACTCGACCATGGCTGTCGATCCTCGCTTCCCAGGCTGAAACGTACACAGAGCGATTAATGTAAAGATCGTTGCGGAACGGATCCTGTCATCTCCGACACGGACGACGGAGTCACTTACACGGCGGCAAAGGTTCCTCTGAAGACAACGACACGTTCGATGTTTGGCACACAGGCAACGGACACAAAGGCTTGGGCCGATGCGTAGGCGTCGGTGGACACTCCAACTGATTGGCCAGTGCCGATTCCGAGCCCGGTCCTGGTCCCGGCCCCGGTCCCATTCCCGGTCTTTCTCGTTGTCTGTGCGACCTTGGCGAACTTAATAACGCGATGCTCTTCGTAACCGCCGTCCTTAACTGAAATGTTCGACAATCTATATACTACGGTCTACACGCGTGCGATGTATACGCGTCGAGAGCAACGAGTGCGACAGTCGTGGGAGATTATCTCTCAACCTTAAGATTCGAGGCTTCGTCAACATCCACAATCTCGAATCCGAAGCAATCCTCGGGATGCAGCGGCGTAGGATGCCTTTGAGAATGTCTCTTGGGTAACTCTGGCGCTCCGCTCGGCAAAGCGTTGCTTCTATGTAACGGCCGATGCGCTGCTCTCGGTGGAAGCGGTGGCGGCATCGGATAGAGGGTCTCGTACAAGGATTCAGGAGACGACAGTCCGCCCCTACTACGCCACAGTTGATAATACTCCACTGCCTCCTGCGTTACGACTCCATTCGGTCTGCATTGTCTCTGAAGTAAAGCGATTTTCTCTTCAGAAGTTGAAAAACAATTTTTCCCAGAGTTGGGAAGCAAAGCCCTTACCGTTGCAAGTTACATTTTTTCAGTAACAATTTAGTAATGATGTTAATATATTTTTATTTATTACTAATGGTTACAGTAACACAATTATATTTTAACGATAACTTTCTTTTTGGTGCTTTGCACATATATGCTCTTATTTTGAATTCTCTTTTAACTTAACTGAAAGTCAATCTTATAAGTCACACTTAGAGGTCTACCTTACTTTTATCGATAAAAGAAAGTTTAAAGTAAGGATTACAAAATACATATATGGAATGAACAGAAGCACGTGCAAAATGAAAAAATAGTGTTAATTACTGCAAAATGTCGATCTATTCCTTTTAATTATAAAATATTGTAATAATTATTTTTTTTAATAGCATATTTATTTTTTAAGATATAAGTAGCACATTTATGATGAAAAAAAATAGAACTAATTGCTGTAGAATGTCTTAAGTAATTCCTCTCTGTTACAAAATTCTATAGTAATTTTTATTATATAATTATCTCTGTGTATACGGGAAGAAGTGTTCGAGCAAGTTGCATATCGCTCACCTTTTTAACGTCATTACGGCTCACACTCGCGTGCTGAGACTCCATGTCCGAATTACTCTCCTCACTGCTATTCGACGAACGAGGCTCCAGATCCAGACAACGCACTTCCTCTAATTGATCTTGCCTGGGGAACGACGTCTCCAGGAGCGCCACTGCATTCTCCTCAATCTCGATTGGCTGAACATTGGCAGTTTTGTGCATCTTCTCTAAGATTGGCAGTTTGAACGGTTTGCTCGTGCTCGCGGTGTCACTGTAGTGCAACGAAGTAGTCCGCGGCGCGTCTCGCAATGACGACAACATCTCCTTGCAAATGTGCTCGGGCAGGACAGTCGCTTCGTTCCCGTCGACCGCATCTTCGTACGAATGTCTACTTTTATTATTATTGTCCAGCGCACTCGAAGATATTCTGGCGTCGTCAGTCGCGTCGCTGTAACGCATCGGTAGAGTACTTTGTGAGCTCAATGATTCCTTGAACGCGCGCGAAGGCGAGGCTGCTAATCCGTCCGGCAACAAGTTCGCGTCGTTACGTACGCCGTCGCCTTCGTCATGGTCGTCGTCGTCTTCATCGTCTACATTGTTCTCGCTAGACGTTTTTAATAACATGTTCGTTATTCGACTATGATACATAACGGGCTCGTTATCCTTTAGGGATATTTTGTACGACAATGGCGTCGCGTCCTTTACCAATCTGTGCCCTGTGTCCGACGTCGCGACGTCATTGTTAGACCCGCTTCTGCACGGATCACCCGTGTCCTCCTGAAATTCGCACAGCGCAACGATACCGTCGCTGCCCTCAGACTCCGCCGGCGTGCCTTTGCCGCAAGCTTCTTCGTCTGAGAAGCTGTCGGAGCATGTCGCTGACTCCAAGATGTTCTGACGAATTTCGGAAATATCCTCTGCCAGTAAGCACTTCTTCCTGGACAGATTTCTGTGAGCAAGGACGACTGATTTTTTACCGTCATCGTCGTTATTTCCTCCTGCCTGTTTGGCCAATGCCGATGCACTTGTGATATCCAGGGACACATACTCGTCATCTTCATCATCGGCCTTCGAATCTGAAAATTGGACATATTTAATTGCATCTTTTATATTTACTTATCCTTTATATTTTTGTCATTTTTTATGCAATAAGTACAAAGGAAGCTTGGAAATAGTCTGCGATTGACATCGACATTACTTGTCATATCTTCGTGGCATAAAGTCTCTACTTCTAGCGAATCACTCTCCGCTAAAGAGTCAGCAGTGGCTGATGAGACCGCATCTCCAGTCGAGTTTAGGAATTTAGTTCTGATATCTGATACAGATACCTTGTCCCTGTTAACATTTGCTACAGGAGCACTTGTGTGGTTTGTGGACGCAGTCGATGCCTCTTGGATCGTGGAACTCAAAGTCCTCAATGTGACAGACTGCTCGTTAGATTTTTCAGTATCCTCCTCTTGCTTGGAAACACTGCCCATGGCATTTGTTTCTGATGGCATTTTTCTTCAAAGCATAGTTCTGATCAAAGATTTTGCAAAATTCTGCAGACAAGAACATTCATAGAACCTTCAGGTGAAACTCAAAAACACAACTCAAAAGCACAACTGTCGAAAATTCAAGTACTATCGTCGTGCTTCTACTCGCACAATGACGTGAGTAAAAAAACAAGTAAATAAACAAACGCATCGAAAGACTCATGTATGTAAACAATATCGATCCGCAATTTGTATCAGTTTCTGTCGCAATATAAAATGTAAAGCAACGTATCCACAAGTAATAACAACAGAATCAACAATTAGGTAACAAAATCGAACGAGACGCGACGACAGGTTAAGGATGATCGAGACGTATTAACAATCTCTGTAAGATTCTTGTGCGCAAAAGTCGATCAAAATCAATAGGCAGTAAATACAGAAGCATTGTTTATATCTAATCTTGTGTCTTCAATTTGATAACAATTAATATATTCCACTATGCACATATGCAAAGTGAAAGTACATGAAAGACGTATTACACGAAAATCGCTTACCAACTAATATCGCATTTTTATTAACGCACCAAGTAACAAAATGCGCTCAAACAGCCGTTTCACTTCATATTCACTCGTACACTTACGTGTTGACTTACTCCTACTAATTACACACGTACACGCGTGAACGAATAATTTTGACAGCGAACGTAGCAGACTATACTAGTAACTGCATTTCTCGCATGGTAATGGGGATTCACAGCGCATCCGACAACCAATAGCCATGTTCAGCAGAGAGCTGTCTCGCATCTGTGTAAAATTCGTGAATCCAATTGGTGTATGCTCTTCGTCCTGGCTAAATCTAAAAGCATACCCTAATCAGATTCATGGATTTTACACAGTTGCAAATTCGCATGAAGTTATGGAGAATTCACACTGCGCCCAATGTGTGTCCGATGTACTACACTAATAGGTGCTTTCCAGCTACGTTACACTGTGTTACACAAAACCAGTTTATTGGTTACATATTATCTAAAATCTTGTAAAATAATATGCAACCAATAAACTGGTTTTGTGTAACACAGTGTACGTAGCTGGAAAGCACCCAATATTCTTTAATTGAGTCCTTTTTTAGCGTAGAATAGTGTAGATGAGCGTATCATCTCCAGGGGCGTTCATCTACACTTGTCTACACTCAAAGAACTTAATGAACATCAGTGTACGACGTTCGATATCCAATAAAAGAAATAAATAGCTTTTCAATGGAGAATTGAATTCTCTATTAGAAAGTTATTCTACTGTTTTTCCAAATTAATAACTATCTAGATTCTGTATTTTATAACGAATTTAGCCGTTTGAATTAAGACTGGTTTATGATAGCCGTAAGTCTCGAGTCACAATAGGTGTAGTAAGCTTTAAGTCTGAAGAAATTGACCAATCATAGTCAATGGGTGCGTTCAGCAGATAAAAGCGCTCAGTGAGCACTCGATGTTTATTGGTTTATTCTGTTAGTTCCCTATATTTAGACCAATTACGTTTACAAATCACTCAACAGTTGTACAACTGTTGTGTCTGCTGAACGCGCCCATTTATTCTCCTCAAATTTGACTGTGATTGGTCAATTTCTTAAGACTTAAAGCTTACTACACCTATTGTGGATCGGGACTAATCCATTAACTTATGCCGGAACCGTAAAAAATTGACCAATTACAGTCGATTAAGGTGCGGGTCCAATGGTCCGTAATGCAGGATTCACCCGCGTCCGATGTCCGACGTACGACGTCCGATATCCAATAGGAAAATAGCTTTTCAATGAAGTTAAATTCTCTATTAGAAAGCTGTTCTCCTATTGGATATCGGACGTCGTACATCGAACATCGGACGCAGTGTGAATCCTGCATAAATATATCTGTATCCGTAACCATAAACAAAATCGAACCGTGATTGGTCGTGATATATATCGCATACATGCATTATGCAGGATTCACACCGCGTCCAATGTCTGATATCCAATAAAAGAACAGTGATAGGACTACGTTAAAATAATAGCAAAGAAATAGAAAGTTTCCTGTCTATACAATCACGCGTAACAACTCGACGAATCGTTGCACGACAAACTGTTGCACGTGATTGTGGGTGCTTTCCAATTGCTTAACACATCTTGACACACACGTACACAAAACCAGTTTATTGGTCACATATTATCTAAAATATCTTTTAAGATAATATGCAACCAATAAGCTGGTTTTGTGTAACACAAAGTACGCAACTGGAAAGCACCCTGTACAGACAGGAATTTTTTTCCATTTCTTCGTCTATTTTTTACATAGTTCTACCACAGCTTTCTATATATATAGAATTCAATTCTCCATTGGAAAGCTATTCTTTTATTGGATAACGTTGTACGTTTGACATCGGACGCATGAATCTGCATAATACTAGAAGTGCTATAGTATATGTAACATATACTATAGTATTTCTAGTAACAGAGTACACCTAGGTAGGGAATCTGAACGCATCCCGACCGCAGATAGCGGTGGGCCTGGCCCGGAACCATAAAAATGGAATGGAATGAACGCATCCCGAGATGAAACCCGAGACAAAACTACTCAGAAAGAGAGGGATGGCGGCCATTTTTAATGACTCGATACGATCTTAATCTAAATGGACATTTAATTGCTATCAGTAATTAACCACATACTTGGTTTTGATCTCATTCGCAAAGATACCATACACTTTGTACTTTTATATTTTTACATCTACACACACAATTTTTAATTCTATATTCATACGTGACACTACACAATACCTACCTACACAAATATGTACGATGAGAAAATAGAATGATCTCTTCTTGTGTTTTTGTACGATTTTACAGATATAAACACGGTTAAAGAGCATTACAAGTACGTAATAATTCTCGATTCCTACATAAGTTCTAAAACGGATTCTTTATCACTTTGCGATTTCATAAGTATCACATGCCCAAATATAGTAAAAAGGTACATCGTGACTTCACATAAACGTATGACAAGTGAAAGTAGATCATATGTGTCACAAACGACATCGGTTCTTAAAAAAAAAAATAGTTTCAATTTCCTTTTAAATATGTTTTTCTTATAAAACGTATAAGATATTTATTTAATAAAAAAAAAATACGATGTTTTCACAGATTCTCTATAAATCATGTCAATATTGAATGTATTATGTTGCATTATTTATCTGTTATTGAAAAATCGAAGCACTTGTAGCATTAACTATAACGGAGGCAAGCTCGAATCATGATGAAATTCATCTTCCGTTAAAGTACTCGCTAAATAATACACTTGCTCTGAAATTTTATAAAAACTCATAATACATTTTTTTTCTCTATGGGTTTTACTGCAAATTTACATAAGTTGAATGAATCTTCATTCTTCCACAATACATGCTACTGTGCATCGTTTCTTTTTTTTCATACCAACACCATAATTGTTGAATATATTCTTTTTTGTATAATGTCTAAGCTAATATAATTAAAAATATTTATTGTATTTTTATATTGCTTTTACCAAAAATTTTGCGATATAGTTAAAGATATATTAATACAATATATTTAAAACTAAAAGTATTCTCTCTCACTCTCTCTCTCTCTCTCTCGCTCTCTCTCTCTCTCCCTCTCATAAATATTAAAAGATAATGGAAGCAAGATAATAAGACAATGGACCAAATTTCATTTATTCGAATTTGTTTCTCAATCTCTATGATATATGTCACATACTAAAAATGCGATGAATTATAAAAAAAATATCTTAAAGAAGTTACTTTTCTTTTTATCTTCAATATAACATATCTTTGTAGGAAGATATCTCATTGTTATACTTTCATATGTGATCGCTATTATTTTAGGAACACAAATCAAGAAAGGATGGAACCTAAATAAGTGCTAAATATAAGTTGCGATCAGTTTAATTTACAAGTATTTACTTTATGGCTGTCATAATAATTGTAATAATTATGATATTATTTTACAACTTCGCCATCGTCAGATAAAAACCTTTACCTACAAATCATCCTCAAAGCCTGCGACGATACTATTTTATGCAAATTATTCACAAAATATTTAAATTCAAAACTCTATTGTATATATATTTTTTTTTATATTAAGTAATATAATATCGATTATTATACTTTAAAGCTCTATATTAAAATTTGAACATACACACGACAATCACTATAAGATTCATTGCGATTATATTATTTTTATACCGATCAAATCAATTACGTCTTATGCACATTTCTCACACATTACATCAGAAATTTCCTATTCATTCATGCCCAGTAAAGTATACTAATTTACCAGTATTCACTGAAATCTTTTATATATATAATCGTCATTATATACATATGATGAAATAAATGCATTAAAATGATACTAACAAGGTAAATATACATACATATATATATATATATATATATATATATATATATATATATATATATATATATATAGATATATACATATACATATATATATATTTACCTATATCTATATATATATATATCTATATAGATATATATATATATATATATATATATATATATATATATATATATATATATATATATATATATATC